TCCTCCAAATGAACAGGTAGTCAGTGATCGTCGTGGACTCTCCCGTGGATCTCTCTGACTTCATGTGTTCGCACCTGCGAGACTGTGTAGCTACCTACTAGAAGCTAATTATTACAAGGAATAATCAAACAACCCACTTATAATTAAGAATCAATATACAACGTTAATTATTATGATTTTATTATTAATTTTGAGCTTATAAATGTAAGTACGAGGAGGTGTGGAAAGGTAAGGTCCAAAAGTATATTGAAAGGGAAATGAAGAAAGGAAGTGTAGGGACTCTTGTCGCAGTTGGGACGGCACTGCAGGCTGCAGCCTCCTTGCTTTGCTTGGTGCTTGGGGTTGGTGGTGTGCTTTGTTAACCTAATGCTCTGCTTGCTAGTGCCGTCGCTATGCGATGACCAGATTCCCTGCAACTTCTGCATGCAGCTTCTTGATTGATTAAAGCCTTGGAAAAGGTACACACAACAAGCACCATTGCTACACCCTGAATTATATCTAGCTCTATACCAACAATCAATATAAACCTAGTAAATTAATTGGTGTCATTTTCAACATGATTTCATATTCTGCAAAATATATATAATAATATCATCAAATGAAGCTTGACCCTGTCCAAATATGATTGTTCTAGCAGATAATGCTACATTGTAAATTACAAGAGGTCTACTGAGATGATCACCTTATCATCGATCTAACCACTAAAATCAGGACTAGTTAAGTTCCATCAATCATTGGAGTTACGTCACGAGATGTGAGATAGGAGGAGACCATAAATATAGAAATAATAGCAGTATGTTTGCAGATGGGTTCATCTCACTCACAGCTGTTTTGCGTTGACAAATTTCGTGAACAAATCATCAATTTCATATATACATATATATATATATTATATATATGTGTGTGTGTCCCCTTATATATTGTACCTTATAATAATTTTGTAAAGAGCGAGAAATTTGGAGTCTATGTTTGCTCCTTATATATAGTACCTTATATAGTTTAAGAATTAAGTACTGGTACTATATATTAATTAAAGATATATATATATAGTACTATATATTAATTAAAGATATATATAGTACTATAAGGCTTTAATTTCATGCCTATATTATAATATATATGTATGTCTATATAACACCCTCCAAAATCCCTATTTCTCGTATATATCATCAAATTCGTAGGGACTTCTGTCGTAGGAGAGATGGAGCCAAATGCAATCGTATTGGTTTGGTACTAATTATGGTAGAATTAAAGCTAACCCAATTTGGGCACTGGGCTTCATCTCTCCTCGACTGAAGCCCCTCACTTTGATCACTGGCAACTGGGAAAAGAAAACAACCCCCAGCTTTATTCATTTCTAATTCCAAGCTTGAGAAAGATCAAGGTGAAGTATACTATATATCTTTTTTGTTCCTTTTTTGGGTTTCGAATTTTGGATTTTGTTTCTCAACTAAACCTCTTCTTGGATCATGGTATATGCAAAGGGAAAGGATAAAAGAAATTAGGCACCTCAAGATCCAAGCTGAGCCCAAATGCACCTTTGTTTATCTTCTCCTTTTAGCTTGATCAGGCCACCTCCGTCGTCCACTTCTGTTCTACATTCGTGCCGAAAAACGCATGGCCAGAAGACAAGGGTTTCATCTTACTTTGTTGTGAAGTTGATGAATTGAAGGCTGAAGTGAGCTGATTGAGGATCTTCCTGTTCACAAGATATATTTTCACCACAAAATTTAGTCGTTTGTATTGTGGCTGTATGAAATTAATTAATAACTCAAAATTATTAAAGCCTGCAGCTGCAGCTGCAGCTGATCTTATTCTTTTTTCTTTTTTTTTGGTCAAGAGTGCTTTCATTCCAAACGAAAGAGAAGTACAAGCATAGGACTAGGCTACCCACAGCCACAACCAGAGAAATAAAGCTACCAACAGCCAGCAAAAGAGAGGAGAAAAAGAAGCTACAGCTAAACTAAAGCAGCCACAGCAAAAATAGATGAAAAACAAGCTACAGCAAAGCAAAAGCAAATTTTGTTAGAGGCCAAACCTATGACACCTCCAAAATAGGGAGCGTGTCCGCCTCTAACAGCCAGTATTCACTGCGTAGGGGGACATGGGAGTCCATCAGCTTGCAAAACAAAGACCAAAGAGGATGGGAGGCTGGATTCCCAAACCTCATCACACATCCTCCTTCTAGCTTGAGAAGCTGCAGCATCTGCTGCTTTGTTAGCACCACGGTGCACCCAGTTCCAAGAGTATGAACTGAAACCACTGCAGTCTTGTATATTTAAGCCAGCTATCCGGCTATCGTTTGGGGATTAAAGCCAACCCCATTTTCATTTTGTTTAATTAAGATTTGAATGCATATAATTAATGTTTTAAATTTATTTTGCTAAGGCATTTAGGACCTGTTTGACATTCAATTTGAAATCAACTTTTTAAACTCAAAGATATAATTTGAGTCCAAAACAAAGAAAAACTGTTTGGTAACCCTCTTTTTAAAACTTAAACTCAAGAACAACTAAAAAAAACACCATAATTATTAAAAACAAAAAAATCTGTTTTTTAAGTTTTTTTTAACAACCCACAAGTTCTCAAATTTTTAAGATTTAAAAACTGTTTTCAAGTTGCATACCAAACAAGTTTTTGAATTTTAAAAATAGATTTAAGAACTCTTTGTTTAAAAAATTTTCTTAAAAAAAAATCAAAATTTTGAGTTCTCTATTTGAATAGGATATCCCTTATTTTATCTGTGTTTCCAAATTGTTAGGTATCATTTCTCTTCTCACTGTAGCCCCCATCCGCTCCACTTCTATTCAATCCAATGTTAAATACGGTGAAGGCACTTTGTCTTGCATGATTCAATCAAATAATGATCGATCCATCGATCTGGCATCTAAGGTACAATGATTCATGATAGGCTTTTTGGGGTTTTACTTTCTAGGTTCTAGAGTTTCTCTCTCTAGGTGGCTGCTTTCCCCAGCACCATCCCCATTGCCATTTGCTGTTTTTTTTATGTCATTCGTACTCCAAGAGGCGTGTCCTTGATTGATCGAACATGGAGATGGAGGGTCCGATGGAGAAGATAAACATGGTTGTTGTTTATAATTAGGTGCTCTACAGAAGCAAAATGACGGAATAAGAAAATTGTGTGAGGGTGGGCCCCTATTGCTTCAATTCAATGTGTTTAAATTGCCCTACCAATCATTACATATGAAAGCTATGTGAGATTTTTGTCATAAATAATATAAGGCACATGGGGAGAATTAATGTTTTCAAACAAATATAAGAGTGAGCCTGCCTGGCAGTAGCAGACGCATGGAGAGGAGGAGCGAGCCTGCCAAAAATACCTAAAACCGCAAAAATCAAAGCTAGCCAATAAAGAAAAGAAATTACAAGGGTCATTTTGGGGAGAGGGGGAGAGAGGCAACGGTGTTATATCGATGAAAATTTATCTATAACATTTTAAAGGGTCACATTTTATCCCAAGTTAGGCCAATGAATATTACGCCTAGTAGTAAAGCATTTATTAGTGTAGTGATTTGAAATAATTACTTTCTCATACAAAGTTTTGAGTTTAAATTCTAGCATTTGTATAGTGTGTGTGAGTTATTATCACCATTCTAAATAAAAAAAGGTCATTAAAAAAAATTACGGTCAGTAAAAGAAACACCATTAAATCAATAATTTGTATATAGCTATAATATTTTGGGATGAATAAATATGATTGTTTGGCCCGACAAAACTTGTACGATGCCTCCTTCCACATAAATGCATTTGCTGCTTTGCGTGTAATAAGGCTCTGTTTCAGAAATATTTTGTCAATAACTGGTTGTCTCTCTTCTGTTTTCAAACCCATCCATGATGAAATTCCAATGGCATATAAATTAGAGATATTTAGTCATATACTCATTCTTAGTATTAAAATTATAAATAAATCATATACCATTTAATTTCTATAAACAAACAAAAAAAAACTCCAAAAAATAACAGCTGGCCATATTCAATTTAATTTTGATTATTAAATTACTTTGATACCCTATTGAGTGTTTTGAGCTTTTTAATAAGGTTATGGGGTTGAGTTTGTTTTAAGAAATCAATAACAGTTTTGTAATTTAAAAGAAGTTAAAAGCTTTTTTCTTATATTATAAATGAGCTTTAGGTGTGTTTCTAAAGTCCATTTTATATAGAGGTTTTTTTTTCTTCCTAATTTGAGCTCCTATATTGAGTATAATAGTGAATCTCCCTATAAATTATTAGGTAGGTATCGGCTAGCTTGCGTTTTGTATGCTTTATTTGTTTTGATAAGCAGGCACAGTTAAAGGGGTTAGTGATTCCTAATCATTGTTTTTGTAAGTGTAGGTCCCACCACAATAATGTCTCCAATCCAAGTCACATATTATGTATTCAAGCGTCGGTGCTCTCAATCGTTGAAACAAGTGTAGACTTTATAGTTTGTATCAACGACTGTAAGTCACTCACGTGTTGCAAATCGACCATATATCCATCCACGGGTACAGCTAGGTAAGTTGTACTTAGCCTAGCTAGCAATAGTTCTAGATCAGAATTGTGATTTATACAATGAACTTGTGATTAATAGTTTGCTCGTTGCAGCCAAACCTAATGGGTGATGTCATGTCCCCTTCCAAACTTTTAACATGTACTAGTGTCCCAACAACCAAATTTTAAGAAGAAAAGGAAATAAAGCTATACTGTTTTGTCTAATTTTATTTCCCTTTCAGAGTCGACAATTTCTCAAAAGGCTGCCATTGAGTTTGAAAGCTGGAGAGCTGAGGTGGTTCGATGAATCCAACAATTTTTTATTTTATTTTTTTTAATGTCAAACTAGCATACATCTAGATATTTTCAATTTACTTTTTGTTTACTTTTTCATGTAAAACTCATTTGATGTTAATATGTACCTTATAAATTCATTTATACATACAAGTGTATACATCACTTGGAGGGATCAAACGACTTGAAGAATTATGCTTAATTATAGAAGCACTTTAAAAGAGAGACAGATTTTTCCCTCTCTCTCCACTCTGAGAATATGTACCATGCCAGGGAAAGCCAGGGCCTGTCCGGCTCTGGGGGCCTCCATAGCCGTAGGGTAATGGCCTCCTGGCATAGACCGAACAAAATTGAATTATATCCGCAGATGCAAGTGAATCGATATCATGGCAATCGAGGAAGAAAGAAACAAACCTAAAAACATAACAAGAGAAGACCAAAACAAGTATGAAATATCAATGTGGCAGAATCAGACAAATTTTCTTGGGATTTCCTATTTCAAATATACATCTTTCCAGTAGCTCTTACACCCCATCATCGGTTTCAAAACACATTTCACTGCAGCATACGAAATGGCTGGGGATGACAAATACAGTATCCAAAAATTTCAAAAAACAAAAGTAAATGTGGAAAAGTGCTAACCTACAAATCATCTAAGTGGCAGTCATCATAGAAGGAAGAATCTAGCCAAGTAATTGATACAACTCCACCAAATTCATCATATCCTTGCCTCGTCATAATTCAGAGGTATGTGCATTATTTCCTTCTCTTTCAACTATAAGAAATACTCTTTTGTCTGATCATGCTGTATTCTACCGTCAAGTGTAAAACAACTGAACTTGGCACCGGGAAGCAGTTCCACAAGCAGTTTTGAGTTCTTGTCATTTGCACTGTTTTGATCGGAAATTCTCGTTGGACAATAGAGAGCTGATCAAAACTTCTAGCCGTTTTGCTCCAGGGCTAGGCCTGAGGACTGTAGTGTTACCAACAACAGAGCATGGATCAGACCCATTGTCCCTTCTTCCTATGCACCAACCACCAGGAACAAGCATACCTGGACCCTTAAACAACAACTCAGAATCGATTTTGTCAAGCACTGGATCATCTTGGTGAAACTTTCTTGCAAAGGGAGCCTTGCTGTCAATCATCCTTTGCATGTCTCCAAGGTTGAGGTGGTGAGGGTGTTGCTTTGGAGGGTTGTCCCACGTTATGAAATGCAGATCAGTATTCACAGTTGTGTTGCGGAACTCTTGAGCATTACAAATGACGGTGTGGAAGTATCCTTCGGGAGATGATAAAAAGTTTGCATAATACATGAGAACAGTTCGAGGTAGGTTGTCCCATCCCCATATGCAGTAATCAACAAAAGGCTTAGAAAGTGCCATCCACGCAGAACCTATGTGAGAAAGAAGAAATTTAGTTAAAATAAAACTTATGGCAACAGGGCATGGTTCTGAATGTAAACCTACGAATATTTTTCAAGGGAGCAGTTGGAAAGGCGCAACAGGTGGAAAATTGACAGCAAAATTGGCAAATTTCATTACCACACCACATTTTCAAATGTTCAACAAAGGTCTAAAAGGAACTATAATAGAGTGGACGGTGAACTTCTTAAAAATCTGCAGAGTAAAAAAATTAGCTCCCTAGAGGACCTTTAGAATATATGGTCCCAGAGAGCGGTGAGGATATAACCCTTTCCTTCCCCCATATGTTTTTTATATGTAGAATATGAGAAAATCCCTAACGTTGTATAAAGATATTAAAATAGTAAGTGAAACAAGAAGCATAATACAGGTAAGAGACTCAAATTTTAAAGCAAGCAACATAGAATCAGATTATGTAGCTAAATGCTTTCATGCATCACTGCCAATAAATTGATCATGGTACACGATCCCACATAGTGAGGAAAAAAGCATGCTAAGCTATTCTTTTATGCCTAATAGAGAGAACTACGGTCCAAATGCACATACACCTGTTATAATTTTCAACTAAGCAGAACAAGAGAGCACAAAACACACACACACACACACACAAGTTGTTTCGTTCCATTCCCCAGAAACAGAATTAGGTTTCTAGAGCTGCAAAAGACAGCAGATCAACACAGAGTTGTTACAGAAAGTCTTTCCTAAAATGTAACTGTTCTGGGCTCATCAATGTGATGTTCTATCCACTTCGAGATACATGAAATTGAAGAGACATCTTTTCATAACTCAGAAGATGTTTTAGAAATCGGTTTTCCAATAAAACACCCAGAGAGGGTTGAGATATATAGCCTCATCCAGTAGATCAAAATTGTTTCAATGGCATTTTTTAATAGCTCCGGGACATCCTTCTTTCCTTCAGAAGTTGCCACTGCTTATGCATCTCATGTTTTCTGCGACATCCCAATTCATTTAACATACCAAAAGAAAAAAAAACAAAACAAAACCAAAGGCACGGTATAAATTGACAAACCTTCATCGTCTTATTGCATAGCACTTGAACACCCAGCAAGAAACATTTTTTAATGACAAAATAACTGTTTACTTCTATTCTATACCAATTTTCAAATCTATAGACTACTAAACAAGTTCAAAAAACTGAAAATCCAAACAGAAAAGGGCAATGATTTCCATTCCTAACTATACATGTATAAATTTTACATATTTTTGTTATGTTTGGGTTTCTATGTGACATATAAGATTCTATCTTTGCTCTGATGTGCTCTAAGTTAGTACTCCTATTTCATTTCTTATCCAATCAAAATAGCAACTTCGGTTTTAATCATGTTTCATGGTCCAGGGGCATGCTAAAAATTTGTACCTGTAAAGAGTTTGAAAGCTGTTGGCACACTCCTTCGCTGTGTAACCCAAAAAACATCAGCTTTTTTTGTCATATACAACCCCGGATCTACAATTATCGGTTTTGCTCTTTGGTACCTATAAACATGCAGCATTACAAATCGACGAGACAGCTTTACTTATTGAAAAAAAGGGGGAAAAAACAGAAACTGTATAAATATAGACAACAAAGAAAAGGGGAAGTTGTGCATACTCTTTCCACCCAATGTTGCTAGTATGATCGATGAAATTAAGATCGCGCGGTAAGTATGAGAACGTGTGCAGCAGATCTAATTAACCACAATTATCAAAACTCAGTAACCAATTAGTCATTTTTTTTCTTTTTTGATAATAAACCAATTAGTCAAATTAGAAACAAAATCAACCAAAGATAGACCAAAATCCCAAAACCAAAGCCCAGTAGACTCACCATCCTGAGTAACAAGTGGGTAATCAGAAGCACTGAGATTGATAAACCAATCCCAATCGCCGCCTTCCTTCAACAAAATAGCGGCAGCGTGAAGCGTGTTGGCCACCATAGTCGGACCCCTGTAAGTGACGAGATTGGCCTTGGTGATCATCTTCACATTGCCGAACTTTACAAAAAGGGGGTGGGTAGAAACGTAATTCTGCAGATCCAGACGCTCCTCGGGCGGTGCCTCAAGGTCCAAGTGAACCACATAGCGGTTGTGAGGGTGGTAAAGGGCTTGAAGGGTCCGCTTGAGCATTTTGCCATCGCCGTTGGAGCCGGAGATGAAGTAAGCGAAGCGCGGAGGAGGCGGGAGATAAGAAACGGGCAGTGGGTGGAGCTTGGATTCGATGAAAACGGAGCTGGAGATGGAAAAGGAGCGGTAGAAGGGAAGCAGAGGCGTGCCGTCAGGTGAAGTGAGCGTGGTGAGGAAGAGAAGGAAGAGAGAGACGATGGAGCCTATGGCCAAAGGGAAGATCCATTTGAGCTCCATGGACTGGTGGTGCCTCAGATGCGTGTAATAGCTCTTTAGCTTCTTCATGTTTCAGCTCCTGAAAACCCAAAATTCCAAATCTCTCTCTCTCTCTCTCTCTCTCTCTGTGACCCCCCACCCCAACTTCCAAAAAGCTTAATTGAGCTGTTTTTAGAGAGAGAGGAGGTTGAAGTTGAAGATGGAGCTTGTTAACATGTGTTTTGCTTGTTGGGAAGGAAAGTGAGGGAAAATGATGATTTTTGGTGGGCAGGAGGGAGTTGATTAAATGAGTGATTAGTGACTAGTGAATTGTATCGTGTTGCTGTTACTGATTTAATCTGCGGTTTGAGATTTTGAGTAACTGAGTTGGGTTAGGGGCTAAGTGAGGGTTATAAAGGCGAGTTTAGAGGGGCTTTGTTTAGTGGCTTTGCACGTACAGAAGAAGGGTCTTACCAAAGTCTACAAACGAAACCAAAGTCTACAAAACTTGCAAAACGCCTAATTTCGCCAACTCGCCGTGACAATAGGGCTAAGTCGCCTAAGCCAATTATTACAAAATAGAGGATTTATCTATATATGCGTTTTCTTCAAGATCTTTCAATTCTACCGGCAATTTAGGAAAGAAATCAAAGCTACCGTACAAGATTTAGACCTTGTTTGTTAACATTTTTAAGACTTGCTTTCTGTTTTATATGAAAAATTAAGCGAGTGATTTGTATTCAGGTTGACGATATAAGAATAGTTGTCAAATGTCGTTTTCTCGTTTTCGGACTTCAGTTTAAGCTGAAAAGAGAAAACAAACTTGAAACAAAATGGGATTCCATTTTTCGTTTTTTCTTGTTGGGATTAATTGTGGAGTTTTTATTTTTTAAAATTAATTTCTTATTGCTACATAATTTGGATTCAATAATGGAAAACGCCAAAATCAAGGTAGCTCCTGAGAATAATTTTTGAAGGTTGACCCTTTTATAACAAACAATTGGGGTCTTTTGCAACAAGTTTAGGGTCAACCAAGACAATAACGTCAAATTTAAACATTCGTCCAGTTAGGTAATCTTTTCGCTTGCATCCAAGTTGTGTTTTTAAGTAACAAATATGCTCTCGGAACTAAGTTTATTGCATCACGTCATTGTGGATCCCTTTTTTTTTTTATGTCAACTATGAGTTCGAAACTTGGAATCATATAAAAAACAATTTTGAAGTATATAAAAATTAAAAATACATAACATAACATGGCACATATGCGAAGAGTTCCCAATCTGAATTACATAAAAATTCATGTAATCAAAATAATTAGTGACCTAAGTTTCGCAATGGTCTGCAGGAGAAAAGTTCTGAAAAGAGTAAGAAGTGAGTTTGGACACTATTTATTTTAATGTCAAAAGAACTAACAAAGCAAGTTCACGTGCAAGATAGTCAAATTTTCTTTTTTAGGTTGAAGCAAACAACTTTCTTCTTCTTCTTCGTCCTCCTCCTTTCCTCCTCTTTGACAATATGTGGACGTAGACTGAGTAACCACAAAGAAAAGTGAAAAAGACCCTTTCAGCAAATTATAATCATGAAAAGCTAGGTGGAGCGTTTAGCATGCTGATTGCGAATTTGCAATGGCACGTCTTGAGGAACCCACATGATTAGTATTTAGTATTCACATTTCATGTGGACCCCAACTTGGGATGGGTGGGGACCCCTCTCCAGCCTCAGCTACCAACCATACCTAGACATTAATCTCATCCAATTTTCTCAACAATACCAAATGACTTAAAAAAAGACGCAAGTTAGCTCAGTTGGCCAGGGCATCCTTTACATCCAAGTTCGAATCTTCCTTACGTAGATTAGATTAATTTTGAATAATTTAGAGTATAGCTTGTATAAGAAAAGAGAGAGTTTATGGTGAACTAGCTGCAGCATTGTTGGAAAGTAGGCCATCGTCCACCATGAAGGGGCAGGCATAACTCTTAAAATCTAAGACTTGTTGGTTCATTAATTATATCATCTAGGATAGGAGTGACATGGACACAACAGGTATAAGGCAGATAAGATGATGACCATGCACCAACTTGAGGTTGGGCCTCCTAGAGATTCAGGCTTTAATATTCAGCAATGAAATAGCATGTTGCAGACATGAAATTCTAATACAGATAAGATTCTTGGTCTTGCACAATAAAGAAAGAAAATAAATATAAGTTTTATTAGGATGTTTTGTCAGCAAATGATACGAAAAGATAAAGGATGTTTGTCAATGCGTTTTGGTATAATGCACGTTTGAACATGTATATATGCTGCAAAACCTTAAATATGGAGCAAGGTATATCTCTTGTAACTCTTGTAAGTTCACATGCTATAGAAGAATAAGTTCAAAAGCTTTACCTATGTCTACCGGCAAAAAGGGGAAGCAAGGGCAGAAAATCAGTAGAATGAAATAATTGAGATCATAGGGTTTTTTTTTTCTCAGTAGGATCATGATTTAACAACCTGAAATTATCAGCACAACATGTGACGAGACTGAAAACACAACCTGTAACCAGGAGACTTTTAACTTGCTTAGATAGAAACATGCCTTTAATTGAGTAACAAAAACCAATCCGCAATTCTTTAGCTTTTCCACAGAAGTGATTCTGAAAAGGATTCTCCAAAGTCTTCTCAGCTTGCTGGCAACAATCATCCTTGAGTAGTAACTCAAACAAGATATTATCTATACAGGAATATACTAACAACAAAAAAAAACCATTAATTTTTGGGTAAGACAGATCTCAAATGAAATAGCAACTTAGCAAGTGAAGCTAAGGATTACCTGACCACTTCCCATCTGATTTCCTCTTATGTATCAGCAGCACCAAAAGTCTAAATTGATTGTATAGAGGCCAGGCTCCAATCAAAAGGGGTTAAAAATAGTGTAGAGCCCCGTCTTTAGTTGCTTCCCTGATTAAATTAGAGCACTTTAGCAAATCTACAATTTATGAAAAGAAAAGGACTGGCCTAACAGCTATCAGAGTTCTCAGATCCTTCACAAAGAAATTGGAGGAAACAGGGTTACATTAATTTCTGCATGTATGTATAGATAGAACATACATCCGAGTCCAAAATGTGGATACTATCATACTGGTAATTTAACTTTGTTGCAGCGAATGCACTGGTCACTAAGTACAATATCTACAGAATAACGAGCAGAACTACGCATTTACAGTTATAGGGGAAAAGTTATAAAACACAGGCTGTGGACTTCGAAAGAGGTTCATGATTTCAAAATTCCTCTTTCATTCATCTTGTTCATGATCCGGGATGCATCATTAAGTCTGTTTGATCTTTCATAGATGCTGGCAACAACAAGATGCAACTCCTTCTTATTGATGTTAGGATCACACATCAGCCTCTTAAACAGTGCCTCTACCATCTTAAAATCCTTTCTTGCACCATAGAGACTAAGCATCTGGAAGTGAACTTCATCAGAGAAAACACACCCTTCTTCCTGCATCTCCCTATATAAAGCATCTGCCTTCTCGAATTCCCGTAACTTTCCAAAAGCATTGAGAACTAGATCAATCACATTCGAAGCAGGAAAGTATCCTGCCACTCTCATCTTCTCAAACACCTCAACGCAATTTGCGTACTTGCGGTTTCTTGAGAAAAGATCAATCATGCAACCAAAGACAGATATATCCTTCACCTCCCCAGCATCAAAAGCCTGGCGGAAAACCCATGTAGCCTCTTCTATGCGACCAGCTCCTGCAAGAATGGTGATTGCAGTCTCCCTAGGGATATTGTCTGGGCGCTTGAGCTCATGAAGTAAACGCTTAGCATGAGCAACCAAACCTACTCTCTCATACGCCACAATCATTGTCTGATAAAGAACCTGATCAATCTCAACCCCGGAGCTCCTCAGCTTTTGAAACAGCATTGCTGCCCTATCCAGTTTCCCAGCCCTACCCCATATAGATATAATCGTTGAGTATGTCATTGCATTTGGCTGAATCCCTCTGTTCTGCATTTCTTGCACAAGATTTGTAGCTTTTTCATGCTCAAGGGACTTCCCGTAAATCTTAATCATCGTATTGTACGTGACAACATTCTGCTCAATATCCATTCTCTGCATCAATCGAAAAAGATGGATGGCTTCCCCAAAAAGCTCAGCATCGCCATAAACCCTCAAAAGAGTATTGTAACTAACAACATTGGGTTCAAGTCCCATCTTCCTCATGCTCCAAAACAACCTATCAGCTTCCTTAGCCATATCGAGCTGCCCATAAACATCAATCATAATATTGCAGGTGGTGAGATCAAGGGGACATTTAACCTCATTCATCTCAGAGAACACAGACAATGCCTCAACAAACTTTTGGTTCTCAATATACATACTTAGAAGCGTCGAATAACTAACAGTATCCGGCAAAACACCCAGTGCCCTCATCTCTTTGAGCAGAAGTCGAGCCTCTCTGAACAACTTAGCTTTCCCAAACACATTAATCATCGAGTTGTAAGCCACAAGGTCCGGCATAATACCCAGCCTCTTCAACCTCGAAAAAATTGATATCGCCTTAGAATAATCACACAACTTACGCGATAGCTCAATCAAGTTGCTATACAAAACAAGATCGCCTGAGACGTGGTCTTGTTCCATCTTTTGGAGCCAAGAAAGCGCAGAATCAAACATACCCGCCTTCCCAAAAGACGTAATAAGAGTTGAATAAGTGTACCTATCGGGTGCAAGCGCTCTTTGGCGCATTTCCTCAAACAGGCCGTGTGCAATCTCCCACTGCTTGGCGCGAAGCACATTGCGTATCACAACATTGTAAGCGAACACAGAAGGAGTGTACAGAGCTTCCTCGTTAATCCAATCGAGAATAGCGAGCGAGCGTTGCCAATCAGGCTCGCGCGAGAGCAGCGAAACCATGAACCTTATTGAGAGCTGCCTCCCTTTGTAGGTTGACATTAGAGAATACAGCTCTTGCTCGTTTTGGGTCTGACCGATTGATGACAAGAGCTCGTCCATGTCAATGCTGTGGTCCAAATGGGAGGGTCCTTGCTGATTTCTGGGGTGGCGTTTCTGGGTAAGTTGGTGGGAGGGTGAAGAGGACGGCGTCGTTTTGAGTTGCGGCGTTCTCCTCCAGACATGTTTGGTTGTTGAAGAAGCTGAGAATGCAATAGGCGGGAACCGGGCACTGGGTTTTGCTTCGCGCCCCTTGAAGGTGAAGGGTATGGAGGTGTAATTATGGGTTTTGTTGTGGGGCAGTAATGGAAGAGAGAAGGAAGAAGATGTGCCGACTTGCATGGTTGAACAAGATTTGATTACATGTAAACGAAGACCGTTTATCTGTGGATTTTTTTTTAATTTTCCTGGAACCAAAAAAAAGAGGCTGTGTTTGGCTTCTTTCTTTCTTCTGCTAATTACAGACAGAGGCGACAGTGACAACAAGGAACGTAATAATAGTTGAATTTTCCCTCATGGCAAACACAACTTAAAGACTAGAAATTTGCAAAATTGAACGATTTGGAGCAGGAATCAAACTTGAACAGTTAAAAATGACCTTGTTTATTTTGTCTTTTAGTAGGGTAGAATCGACTTTATATATTCTTCAAATTTGCAAATTTTCACATCTTATGTGAAAAGTATTTGCCGAACTTCATTCAAAATCAAAATCTACGGTAGTTGCAAGGAGTTTGTAGTTCAAGTTAAGTGGTTAAAGATATTACTTTTACGCGAGAGATCTTGTGTTCAAAACCCTTTTTCCTCCAGTACCGTTCGTTTTGAAAAAAAAAAAAAAGAAAAGGAAAAAAAAAAAAAAAGGTACCGTGGTCCGGTCATCGGACATCAATCATTATTTTGGTTATGGGCTTCCTGTGATATTGGATAACAATGATATAAAGTGGAAAAGCCACAAGGATAATTCCTGGGCTTCCAAATTATTATTATTATTTTTTTTGGTACAAATTTTTTGATATTACAAGTATTTTTGGCAAAAATGCGAAAATAATTACAAAAAAGCTTATTATCACAAAACGTCCCTAAGGTTTACGAAATTATCAGATTGCATCCTTAATGTTTTTTTTGTCATTCGTGGTTATCGATGTTAGTATGCATGATCACAAATGGTTTCTGCCGTTAGGTTCCGTAAAAAAACTCCGTTAGTTTGCTAACGTGACATATATGTATATCACAAAACATCCTTGAGGTTCATACACCTATCACAAATGGTCCTTACGAAATTTTTTAATATTTTAAATTTAAATTCATAACAGTTTTGTTTTCTTTTAAAAATTACAAAATTAGTGAAATACCCAATTCTAGACATGAAACTATAAATATACCCTACACTATTTAAAACATATAAACACACCCAAAATATACCCAAAACTGACAGCTGTTATATTTTTTAGTTTAATTACTTAAATGAAATACCTTTATTACCCATTTAGTATTAAATTAGTTTTTTTTTGAAAAATTTGGGCCCTCTCTCTCTCTCTCTCTCTCTCTCTCTCTCTCTCTCTCCCTTCGCAGAAACCAAGCCTAGGCCAACGATCTTGGTGCTGCGTCCACGGCCAGCATGACAGCGATCGGAAAAGGATTGGTCAAGGCCGACGATCAAGTATGGGCTAAAGCCCAGCCACATTAGCCATTGACGATGCCGCTGCGAACTCAAAAAGGTTTGTGGATTTCAAGTTTTCCGACGTCGTTTCCGGTGACTCCGACTGTTGTTTCCGTCGATCGAGGTATGAAACTTTATCTAATTTTCGTGCTCAAGCTGTTTATGTATGTGGTTAGGATAGATTTTGGAGTTTTGGAAATTAATCAATACACCCTAGTTTGACCGACGGCTTTGGCAGTGTTCCGGATTACTCCGGCCACTTTTTGGCCGGGGTCCAAGACCAAAAATTTCCCCTTGTTAGTCTGGATATGTTGGTATAGGTATTGTAAGGACTTTTTTGATTTTATTTGGGTGATTTCATGTTCGATTAATTAAGTTGCTGGTTAAGTTTTCATAATTTTTGCAGTTTTGGAGTTTAAATTTGAAATGTAGATCCAATTCTTCTTGATTTTATATGTTTATTTTGTTATTGTCGATTTGGAGATAAGCTATTGGATTTTCTAATTTCGTTCTAATTTGTATTAGATATTCGTTTGAGTTTTAAATTGTGATTTTAATTTTTTTTGTTTATAATTTGGATTGATTTCAAATTTAGTTTGGTTGTGGATTTGCTTTTTGTGTTTTGGTTTGAGCTGTGTTACAGATTTGTGATATTTGATTCTGTTATCATATTAATTTTGAATTTGAGTATATTCGTGTTTTTTCTGTTTATGCACTATTGGTTTTTGAGTCGACTATAATTTGTTGTTAGGTAGCAGTGTTATTACCTTATATTGGAACTTTACAGACATGCATTAGAAATATGATTTCATAGGAAACAAGCAGTGTTATTATCTTATACTGGAACTTTACAGTGGTAAACATGCATTAGAAATAGGATTTTATATGAAACTAGCAGTGTTATTATCCTATACTGGAACTTTACAAGGGGTAAACATGCATTAGAAATAGGATTTCAGAGGAATCTAGCAGTGTTATTACCCTATATTGAAACTTTACAAAGGGTATACATGCATTAAAAATAGGATTTCAAAGGAATCTAGCAGTGTTATTACCCAATATTGGAACTTTACAAGGGTTAAACATGCATTAGAAATAGGATTTCAGAGAAATCTAGCAGTGTTATTACCCTATAATGGAACTTTACAAGGGGTAGACATGCATTAGAAATAGGATTTTAGAAGAATCTAGTAGTGTTATTACCCTATATTGGAACTTTACAATGGTTAAATGCATTAGAAATAGAATTTCATAGGAAAAAAGAAAGTGTTATTACCCTGTACTGGAACTTTTACATTCAAAATAGGATTTCATTGGAAACAAGCAGTGTTATTACCCTATACTGGAACTTTACGGTGGTAAACATGCATTCAAAATAGGATTTTAGAGGAAACAATCAGTGTTATTACCCTATACTGGAACTTTACAGCCATTAATCAACATGAAAGTAAACTAGCAGTATTAAGAATGAGTATATGACTAAATATCTCTTTCTTTTTTGAGTTGCTGAAAATTGACTATTTTATAGTCATATGCAGTTAGTCCAATAGTGAAAATCCAATATAATTTCAAAATTTTGTCTTGGATTCGAATATAAAATACTGTTATTACCATAGACTGGAACTTTACAGCAATTAATCAACATTACAATAAAGGTTTGGATTTTAAATGTCTTACCTTTGAAGCCTTTTCTTGTTGAAATTGTTCTCTGAAATTTTATCTTTGTTTTGCAGGTGGAGGTTAGTGTGTGGTGTTGGTTTTTGAAAGTAGATCAAGCTTGGTGGTTGTTATGGAGTTTCAGTTTGCATAAATGATGAAGACGGTGAAATGAAGAGATATTTTGTTGAGTTGGTTTAATGAAGATGCGTGCTTGAAGTTACTATTTTCGAGACAGTTATGTGTTGTAATAAAATGTTTTGGACTTTTTGTAACCAAAAAAATAAATAAATAAAAATTGGGCTTTTTTATAAAATTGGATTGGGCTTGTTTTGGGTGTTTTTTGAGTTTTTTTTTCAGTGGCAGTCCTGTAATTTATAGGAACTTCAACACCAATTTCTTATATAATAAATGGATTTTGGGTGTATTTCTAAAGTGCATTCCATGTGGGGTTTTTTTATAATTTCAGCTCCTATTTTGGGTGTTTTAGTGAAACTCCCTTTAAAAATTTTATGAATTATAATTATTTTAAAATATATATTAAATTTTAAATACATGTGACACTATATTATTGTAGTTGTGGGATCCATATATATGCCACATCAACAAACTAATGAAGTTTTTAAAAAATAATTTAAAATTCATAAAATTTAAAAATGAAAAAAACTAAAGGTTTAGGGTTCATAAATGGTCCTTAAGATTAAAATCCTTCTACAAATGGTTTTTTCATTTATAAATAATTTTAAAAAAAAACCAAAATTTTATGAATTTTAAATTAAAAAATAAAAAAAATTTGTAGGGACCATTTGTGATAAGTGTGTAAACCTCAGGGATGTTTTGTGATATATATGTATGTCACATTAGCAAACTAACAGAGTTTTTAACAGAACCTAACGGCAGATTGTGATTGCACATACGAACCTTGAGGACCATAAGTGACACAAAAAAACATTAAGGATGCAATTTGATAGTTCCGTAAACCTTAGGGACGTTTTGTGATACCTTACAAAAAATAAATATCAATATATCCAAGCAGGCAAGTGAAAATGAAAACCAAGGAAAGATTACAAGAAAAAGCCAAAAAATGTAGAGAAGAAGATGAGCAGCTCCGGTACAAATGGATTGTTCAACTGCCTTCTTGTGCATGAAGCGGAAGGAGCAGGAGAAGGAACAGATTTTGGATGGGAAGAGGATGTAACGATCTCTTTGGAGCAAGTGTAGTTGCAGCGACTAGGCCTAACAACTCTATACAAACCGGAATTGGCCAGGATAAAGATGTCCTTTCTGTTATCCTGTCCAAAGGAGAATATGAACCCCAGTGCAGGGAGAGAACTTCCTGCCTCAGCACTGCACTGGATAGGAGAGTCCAGAGCACAACTCACCGGAATTTTAGTGCTCGTGAAGTTTCCGCTGTCTTCAGGAGTTTCTATGCCAGTCCATATACCGCCAGCAAACAAATCTGCATAAAGATATCTGCAAACATAATTTGCAGACTGTTTAAGTTAAAGATAATTCTATGAAGTCTTTTTGGTTATCGAAATCGGAAATGGTTGGCTTACCTTCCATGCATGCATGGATCTGTTGTGGATCGGTAAAAGTAACCGCCTGTGATGGAAGCAGATCCTTCAGCCTTGTTCACATCAGAGTGGTTGTATCCCATTACAGGGAAAATTGGGTTAATGGAGGTGGCAGATGTATTTCCTCCTGGAGATTGGGGATTGTATGGAGAAGGACCCTCATAGATACGCCATCCATAGTTTCCACCCTTGGTGATTATATCAACCTCTTCATATTGATCCTATAAAACCATTATTTTAAGCACTGATGATACTAAGAACAAAAACGAAAAAGGATAAACGTTGAGAAGTTTGCAAGAAGAAGAAAAAGAATGTGCAGAAAAACATGCACGTATTGAAGAAAAAAGAGCTCTACATAGTGAAGGTAAATGAACTAATGAAAGCTTAACCCTTGGTTGAGGGACAAAATGTGAGAATCATATGGTTTGCAGCCCCCCCTGCATGCATAGAGAACAGAATGCAACCATATGACCAGAACTTTTCTCAAATCTGACCAAGCTATTGTATTTTTGGCTGCAATTTTGTAAGACATCCTTCATCTGAGGTATATAATGACATGCTTCAATGCATATATGGTTTTTCTCAAAATAGTCCAAAATGGATTAGCACCTACTCAAAAGAACATATAAAACATCGGAAAATTAGTCTCAGTTGCTGTACCTAACCTGACCAACATCTGCACAAAGGAAGTAGGAAGGCCTTTCGAGATCAAAACTACATCGCCAAGGATTTCTAAATCCCAAAGCCCAAATTTCAGGCTGCAATTCCTTATCTTCAGAAAATGGATTATCTCCAGGAACAGAGTAATTTCCCCACAGGCCAAGGTCGGTAATTGTCATTGCACCTGCAAACAAGTATTTGCAGACATGAGAAAGAAAAACACACACACACACACACAGAATATGGTGTCCTGAAGCCTTGTAAGTTTAAGTCATTACTCACTTGGCAAGTTATCTATGTCAAGCCTCATAATCTTTCCAAGCAAGGATTTCTTGTTTTGTGAAAAATTGTATGGGTCGCCTATGCTCCCACCATCTCCCATCATGAAGTACAGAAACCCATCTTTAGGTCCAAACAAAATTTGACCTGCATGATGGGAAGTAAATGGAAGGCCCATAGTGAAAATTCTTCTGACTTCCAGTGGTTTTACACTAGTAACCTGAAATACAGACCAAAACAGTATCAATTACAATCATTGCTGACAATTACAAGAAAAAACTAATTAAAATTATGCAGAAATTTACCGAGGAAGGTTGCGACGTGGTACCATTTGCAGTGAACTCTGCTATGATACTGTGATACTGGCATGGCTGGGCACCATTATCAGAACCCAGCTTTGAAGGATCACATCCCACATCTGAGTTACATGAACATCTACCTGAACATTCTGGCCACTTAACCTTGTCACAGTTGAATGAAGCAAAGAAACGGCCATTTTGCACATAGTTAGGATGAAATGCTAATCCCATCATTCCAAACTCAGTATCAGCATACACTTCATCAGTTAAATCAAGAAATGGATTTGATTTATCAATCACCAACATTTCTCCTGATCCCTCCTCAGGAACAGTTGCCATCCATACTTTACCCGGTTGGTCAGATAAGAAGACACGATTTGATCCATCAGGATGAGCTACCATGTTAAGATAAGATCCATTTCCAATTTTTTCAAGGCACATACCACTTGGGGGAGTTGGAATTTCAGAATTGTTTAGCAACACAGGTCCGCCGTCAAAACAGAACAACTCACTTTCTGAGGATCCACCAAATGTGTTACAGAAATCATTTTTTGACTGCCATATATCACTCAGCTTGGAAGTAGAATTAGATGGTGTTCCACCTCTAACTTGCATTGAAAATGGAGAATTTAATAGAGACACATTTTGGCATTCATCCCAGACCTTGGAACAAAAGTCAACTCCACCATGTTTGTACTGTCTTGAGTTTGGTGAAACGGTTGAGTTGCAGAGAATGGGAACTTTACGACGTACTGATTCAATCCTATATAGCTCTGCAGAAAACTGATCACATCTCTGCAAAGCATGTGGGATTCAAATACACATGAACTGGTGCCCAATGGTTCCATAACACTTAACAGCAGTAGCTAGTAATAACAAGTAAAAAGGTGCTGATAATACTAAATGAAAATTATATCTTTAACGAAGTTATACGATTCTCTTACCGAGCAAAGTATCGATTTCACAAGAGAAGCACAACCAAGATCAGAAACATCCATTGTTTTAAATAGATTCTGTAATTGCATATCCTCAGCAGAATTACAGCAAACACTACCATTGTATTGACAGAAAGTAAGTGGGGCCTTTGGGGTGAAGGGTGACCCTATTTCAACAAAGCAGACAAAGAAACTAATTAGTGACTTACAAAGAAATGAAACTTTGAACCAAACTAATGAAAAGGATTAGTGCGTTATAGGAATGCAAAATTCTGTCTTTTTTGGCACAACCAAACAAAGCATTAAGCCATTAACAAAAGAAAAGGAAAACCAGATAAAAGATGTTAACAAAGAAACACTTACTCATATTAGTACACAAGGGATGCGAAGAAGAAAAATCAGTGAGCAGCAGCAGCAGCAGGTTACAGAACACGAAGACAACAATAGTACTAAAAATTCCACTCATCTTTCAATACAAAACCCACCTCTCTATCTTTCCAATAGAGAATTGAATGATCCAGTTACTGTACCATCAACCAATGGCCCAAATATGAACAAAACAAATAAACAACAAAATGCAACATTCTCCACAGAATCAACTACCCAGTTGGTTTTCTCTCTCTAAATTTTCATTGTTCCAAATATATGTTAAACAAAGAAGGTATTCCTTACCCCACTTCAAATAATAAGTACAATTATTCCATAATAGCTTTGGTGCAAATCAACCCTGGGTTGTTGTCTTTATCCCCAGAAACAGTTGACGTTTTCCTTTTTTGAAAATCCATGGATATGAAAGACCAGGGAAATCAATAAAAATACAAACTTTATATAATAAACAATAGAAATGCAGCAACTTCTGGCTGGTTCGTCATGGTTGACTTTACTCGACAATATCGGACGTACAAGAATAGAATGCGGCAAGTTGACAATTTGAACTCAACGACCAAATGATATATGCCTTAAAAGTTAAGGAAAAAAAAACAAACCAAACCACAAGTGGGGTTCTGTTTTGTCAAATTAAAGAACCAGCGAAGACAATACAAAGAAGCCGAAAAACAAAATCTTTTTCTATCTGATTCCATTTGATTACGTTAATAAGAAAATGAAGAAAAACCAGCAATTTCTGTACTCCCCAGACAAGTTGGGAAGGGGAGAGGAGTTGATATCAGTCATTCCTTGGCTTGTTCTTGAGAAATCCTTGCTTCACTTTTCTCTCGGGTGTCTTGACATTTTGTTTGGAAATGCGACTCAATCTGTGTAGAAGGGTGAATTGAAGCATGAATGGCTTTGTTAAATTGGTGAGTCACAGCTTGGAGCTCATACAGAAGGTGCTACCCTTGTGCCTACACGGGCTCAGCCACCGTAGGAGGAAACATAAAAATATTTTTATATTTAAATCGTATGGCCGCGCGGCTATACTTTCTAAATATATTTTAATATTTAAAGAGTATAGCCGTGACGTTTTAAATATATTCGAATATTTACATAGTCTAGCCGCACGGGTATACTTCGGCTATACTTCTTTTTAATAATTAAATAGTATAGCCGTTCGGCTATACTTTTTAGATATATTTTAATATTTAAAGTTTTAAATAGTATAGCCGCGCGGCTATACAGTTCCAATATATGTTAATATTTAAATAGTATCGCCGCGCGGCTATTTAAATGTATTCGAATATTTAAATAGTATAGCCGCACGGCTATGTAGTTTAAATATATTTTAATATTATAGTTTTAAATAGTATAGCCGCGCGGCTATACAACTGACATATATTCGAATATTTAAATATATAAGTTTTAAATAGTATAGCCGCGCGGCTATTTGCATTAAATATATTCAAATACAAATTAGCTTCCAAGAAACCCAAAAATCAATAAAAAATTAAAAATTAAATAAGAAGTGGAAAACCCATGCTTTCCCTGGATTTAGGTTTTGCTTCGATTCCTACAGACTGAACTTTCCCTCTCTGCGTGGATCAAGCTAAGGCTAGAGTTTTATCCGATCAGCGACGCCATCCACGGAACGTCACTGTAAGTTCCTTCTTGTTTTTTCAAAAACTTTTGACTTTTCATTTTCTGAAATCTTCACAGTTCAATGTATTTATTGATTATTATTTCAAAATCAAGACACACTCATAGATATGCTTTGCTTTTAGACTATTCCGTTTGGTTTCCGAGAAATTGGAATAGAAAGTGAAGTATGAAGCGGGTTTTGTGTGTTGCTTTGGTCTCTAAAGATGGAGGTGTTTTGTCATTTAAATTAAAATATCAGTAAATTATGATGCAACTGGTGGACTTTGTATTTCCTTCCTGTTTACACGTATTTTGTATCTCTCTGAATTTTGATGTGAAACTAATCATGGTAGCAAGTGCTTTGTATTTGGAATAATATTTGTTTTTCTTGTGAAACGTTTTCAGCTTTTTATAGGTTGAAGCGATTACAGTAAGTAGCACCTATCAAAAGCATTGTTCGACTCTCTGTTGCACTTGCACATGATGAATTGAGTAGGATGATGAGTTGGGTTGTCAAATGAGTTTAAGGCTTTTGATAATGTTTTTGAATGATGAAATGAAACCATATTGGAGGATATATATGAGTTTGAGCCTAATTAAACTGGGATTGGGCAGTTTGATGCTTATGTGAATGTAGATCAAACAAGTAGTCATGGAGGATGGATCATGATGGTGACATTGATATTTGTTTTTCTCCAATTGGAACAACAAGAATCCAATGGAGGAGAAATATCAATCTAAGTTGGATGAAAGCAATAGCCAGGTCAAAGAAAAATCCAAAGGCATGTCAGAAAGTTCCTATAGCTCCTCATACTCAGGTTTTAGAATCGGTATCTCGTGGAGAGAACTTGAATTGCTGTGTATGATTAAAGTCCATGAGCCCTTCTCAAACTCTTGGGCTTATGACAGCTTCAGACAGTTTTAGTCACCGATGCAGCAACTCACCTAAGCTGCTCTTCTAGTGCGCACAAGGATTGCAAGTGTGTATCCAAGCATGTGATGCACCAATGGGCTGTCTGTTGGAATGAGGTAACATATCAACCTGATGAAACTTCTGTCTGCAGCTATTACATGGGTCTTTTCTTGGTGGATCCCCAATATGGTGCTGCTTGTGGTGTCAAAGACTGGTACATGTGGATTGCCACAGTAGCATGTCCAATGAAACATATCATATTTGTGATTTAGGTCCATTCAGAACCCTCTTCATGTAAAGGAATTGAGCCAGACTTCCGCTGGTGGATTTTTGAGCTCCATTACTCAGGGGCCCAATGAATAGCATCTTCAGTACATGCAACTATTAGGAGTCGGGGCAACAAGTCCAAGCATGGAAATGAAACCTATGTTGACAAGGGAAATAGTGGTAGTAATGTCCACAGAAAGCGCAGCTGATACTCATCAAGCTGTTAATGGTTCTCATGAAATTGAGGAAAACCGTAATGGTACTGTAAATGTGGTGGATTTGCAGCACCAAGATGGTGATGTAGATAGGAAATTGGATTCTAAGCCTAGTTTCAAAAGGAGCTCGTCAAGCAATAAGAATGATGAAACAAAAATCCTATTGATTTGTCACCAGATGCAAGGCCCTTGTTAGTTTTTACTTTTTATCTCAGCGTGTGAATTCACTGGGGCAACGATTGAATATTCTTCTCAATCCTGTTCAGGTTTGATTTCTCTACCATTTTGATCAGTTGGAAAAATATATTTGCCTTCGTTTGTTTAGCCAAGTGAGATCTTTTAGTAAGGTTTAAGGTTTAAATTTCTGTGGCGTGGAAGTATAAATAAGCGTATAGCCGGGTGACTGTACACTTGAATTATATTTTAATAGTTAACGTGTATAGCCGCGCGGCTATACTCTTGGATTATATTTTAATATTTAACGTGTATAGCCGCACGGCTGTACTATTTTAATATAAACAAGTATAGCCGCCCGGCTATACCCTTTAGTTAGCCGGACGGCTATACCATTTAATTATATTTTAATATTTAAAGAGTATAGCCGATCGGCTGTAATCTTTAATTATATATTAATATTTCACGAGTATAGCCGCACGGCTATACGTTTTAAATATAATTCGAATATTTTTTTATTACTTTATTTTATATTTATTCGAATATACCTATTTTATTTTTATTTGTTAAAACAAAATTAGTCTTTTTAGTTTAATATTTGTAATTAAGAAATATCTCAGCCTTATTTAATTACTAATTATATTTCAATTATTATTTATTTAGTGAATAATTAGTATTTAATTTTTTTAATTAATTTCATAAATTACTCAATATATAGTAATGAGTTATTTTAAATTATTATGATGATAAAAAAAAAAAAAAAAAAAAAAAATCAAATTTAAATTTGTTTAGTTTAATATTTGTAATTAAGTAATATATTATCCTTATTTAATTACTTTGATTAGTAATTAGTTTTAAGGTATTATTTCTTTAATCAGTGATTAGTATTGAAATATTTTAATTAATTTCAGTCTGTATGAATAACATACTGTTAATGTTAATTGGATTTCTTCTGTAGGAAAAAACGGCAACAACAAAAAATTTGTCTGGACTCGAAGGCTGGCACAAGGGCAGTCAATTAAGATACAGCTCTTTGCTGCATTCCCTGTTCGGGTTGATGGGGAGCCTTGTACATTGGCTATGTCCCATCATGGCCAGGTCTCTCTCTCTCTCTGGACAAGGATGATTAGTTTCATGAAATTTAGGCTTTACTTGCGCTAGTTCCTATAGATTCTCTTCCAATGACAATCAGTTTATAGATAAACCTTTCTCTACTTTGTCATATTGTCTCATGTGGTTGTGGTGTGCAGGCCTTCATGTTGAAGAGGGGCTGAGGAGCCACTTGGTCATGCCGCTGCCATTATCACTGATGTTCTTGAGAATGCCGAGACCAACCATGTAATAAGTGCTGTGCAGAAGCGAGCTCTTTTTCAAGAAATGGCTTTGAGGCTGACTTAGAAGTTTCCACTTGCTGCTTAGATTAGGAATCAAAGTATGATTGTATCTTCCTTTTCTTTCTTTCAGAAATATTGTATACCACCATATCACCACATGAATCTTTCTTTTTTGTGGTTTTAATAGGATGCTTCGAGTTGAAGCATGGTTGTAACTTGTAAATGAACCTTGTTCAACAACAATCGCTTCGTTAAGTTAGTGAGTCACAGCTCGGAGCTCATACGAGTCATATAAGGCGCTACTGTTGTGCCTGCCTGGGCTCAACCTCCATAGAAGGAAATATATATATATATATATATATATTTCCTAAAAATATTCTAATTTTCCAAGCGTATAGCCGCTCGGCTGTACTTTTAAATTATATTCGAATATTTAAAAAATATCGCCGGCCGGCGATACTTTTTAAATATATTTTAATATTTAAATATTATAGCCGTGCGGCTATACTTTTTAAATGTATTTTAATATTTCAAGAATATAGCCGTGCGGCTATACCTTTAAATATTTACAGAGTATAGCCCCACGGCTACGCTTTAATTATATTGACTACAAGCCATGCTTTCCTGGATTTGGGTTTTGCTTCGGTTCCTACTCTCTGAACTTTCCTTCTCTGCATGGATCAAGCTAAGGCTAGGGTTTTCTCTGATCGGCGCGATCCATCTCCATCTTCATCTCCACGGAACTTCACTGTAAGTTCCCTTGTTTTTTTTTTAAACTTTTCATTTTCTGAAATCTTCATGGTTCAATGTATTTATTGATTATTATTTCAAAATCCAGACACACTCATAGATTAGGGTTCAATGCAATTGTTCTCCTGCCTAGCGTCCAGGCGCCCGCCTAGCGCCTAGGAGCCCGCCTAGCGCCTAGGAGGCCGCCTAGGCCGATTTTTCGAACACTGCTGATGGCTTGATACAGTTGAATAATATGTGCCCGATTTTTAGTGGGAAGGAAGAAACTACATAGGACCTAAAGAAAAGAAAAAAAACTTACTGGAACCTCAAATTTACTAGGATAAACTTTGAAATGGCCATTGGGAGGCAATCGTGTCCTCAACACTGAAGTTATTGAATTGGATACTACATATATGCATTACAGAGCTTCAGCAGGTGGAAGGCTAATTACCTCCTCTGAAAGTTTATTTTTTCTGTAGCACATGCAAAAACAAGTGCAAAAACTAGTGGATATGCAAGAAGAACAATTGCTACAACTCCTAGATCATCATAGTTGTACCCATAAATACTTCCCAAGAAGGCACTGATTGTCCTTTGCTCTCCATGAACTACTATTTCCTTCTCTACATCTCCATACTGTGAAGTGAGAGCACCTTTTAAGGACCAGGCAAGAGGGCAAATCCAGTAGCCCCAAACCCACCATACAGGAATTTTCTGCAATAGGGAAGAAAGTTTCAAAATGAATTGCATGGAAACTTTCTCAGGGTTTCCATATACTAGTATATGCAAACTCCTTTCATGTTGAACAAGTAAAGAGAGAGTTATCTTACTGGTCCAGGTATGAGGAAACCCGAGAACAAATTGAACATAGTGTAGCAGAAACTTGCCAATACTGAAGCCACTTGGTAAGTTGGGGTCAGAGAAACAAGCAACATACCGAAGTAATTGAAGTAGAGCAATGTAGAAAACGTAGCATAGAAATACCAAAATACTTTGTAGAGTGACCATTGGAAATCTATGGCTGGATACGTAATTGTCGAAAACAAAGCTGCTTGTATCAATATATATGGAATTTCTATGATCACCTGCAACATATGGAAGAGTTTTGTTAAACCCTTTATAGTTTTGAATCTCATATCAAACTTTGGAGTTGCTAAAATATTATGCTCTAGGAATGAATTTGGAATGTGCCTGTGAAAACGAATATGCCCACGACGAGTACATTCCAGCAAATCTTTCTCGGTATACAACATTGCGCTCAGTAGCTATGAATGGTAAAACAGAGGAACAGTTGCCAATTCCCATGCATTGAAGTAAAACAAACATTGATCCTAGAATGTTGAAAAATTCCTGTTCGCCATCTCTTCAGAACGAAGGAAAAACTGTGTTTTAGATGGTAGATATATTAACCTCTATTTTACAATGTGACACCAACATTTTTTTCTTTACTGCTAGTTTCGTTGATGGTCTTCTAGTCATTCATTGATGTAAGAAATAAATGATATTATCTCTATTAAATGGACTTACATTTTCTGTCCTTTCTGCCAAAGAAGTGCTCCAAATAACAAAGAACATGCAGCAGTAAATATCAATCTCCCCAGGTTATATCTCGGACTTCTCCAGTAGGAGAGATGCCGCTTCCATAGGCATGCTTTGAATTGCTCCCATCCATTTTGTGGAAAGCAAGTAGAAAAATGTAATTCCTTTGAGCCTTGTTCTGGAAAGCTGAGTTCTCTAACTAGTTCGTTGTTCTTCCTGAATAGAACAAGAAACATTGGGTTTGAGCATTAGTTAATCCAGACATGAGCAAGAAGTGTGCAAAAAGTGAGCATAGCATGAGCATTGATGTTTAAGCCGCTGGACTGCCAAACAACCATTGTGCTTAATTTAGAGTCTTGGAAATCTATTAATGCAAATTTTAGCATGTTAACAATGCCTAAAAGCTCATATGTTGTATATGCTAATGCAGTAAACTCACTGGCATAGATGTGATGCTCTATAGATATGAGCAAAATCTATGGCAAGTTGAGCTTCTGCAGAAAGACCGGTGACCTCTAACATCCATGTTGCTGGGTTGTAATTCTCTTTAATTTTCGGAACCCCGGGAATACCCTGTTGACAGAATTGACCTGTGGAACTAGATTATGAAAATAAAGGAAAAGAGTGTTAAGAGTTATTAAGTAACTTACCTCAAAGTATTCAATAAGCTTACTTGAATTTTGGCCTAGCTCTCCGTAGTATATTATTTGTCCTCCTCTTTTCATCAAAATAAGCTGTACAAAGTGTCAGCTGATATATTATTTGCCCTGTTTAGCAAAAAATTCATAACTTTTTTCATGTATGGAATTACATTAGTCAATTACCTCATCGAATGCTTCAAATATGTCAATACTTGGCTGGTGAATTGTGCATACAACAGTCCTCCTTGTACTGACAATATTTTTCACAGCTCTCATTACTATAGCAGCTGCTCTGGCATCTAAACCGGAGGTCGGTTCATCCATGAATATTATGGATGGATTTGAAACAAGCTCTACTGCTATTGTCAGCCTTTTGCGTTGCTCTGCAGATATACCACTACCACCAGGTATGCCAACTAATTCGTCTTTGATTTCATCAAGCTCTATCATTTGAAGAACTTCTTTCACAAATTGCTGATAAATAGATAGAACAACTCAAAACATCAGGAAATCTTTATAACTAGAATAATTTTTTATCTTTATAAAAGTCTTCAAGGCATTCCTTGAAAGTTTTATTGTTCTTTCCCCTATATGTTCTTGCTACAAACAATATACAGACGCGTGTATATGTATGTATATTTTTTCTGAGAGATGTATAGAGATAAATTTATGAAAATATGTTCGGTTTATGGAAGCTATGTTGTTACTCCATGCTAACTTCTTGGTTCTAAGTTACAAATAGACAAACTCAAAGTATCTTTATGTCTAAGAAAACTAGCTGCAGGTCCAATTCTTAGATTTGAAGTATTATGTTTGACATACTACATGCCTTGTAAGTTTAAAGGGAATCTTACAGATCTTGTATGCCTATCAATCTGCGCTGGCAAGCGCAACCAAGCCGAGTATGCTACAGATTCTCCTACTGTAATCTGTGGAGAATGTATGTCACTTTGTTCACAATACCCAGATATTCTGGCATATGTTTCTTGTACTTTTGGGTACCCTCCAATTCTAATGTCTCCTTCAATACTTCCACCAGTTTTTCTTCCAGAAAGGACATCCATCAGTGTTGTTTTTCCAGCTCCACTAACTCCCATCAAAGCTGTAAGAATTCCAGGTCTAAATGCACCAGTTATGTCTTGAAGAAGCTGTAGTCGTTGTGGAGGAAAACCTTGCTCTCTCATTTTCTGGGGGATATAAGGGTGAAATCTGAATCTGATCAGTTTGATCAGTTTGATTCAAATACAACTCTCTTGTAGAATCAGGAACTTATAAATAATGTACTCACCTTGGGTGTATCAACAAAGTATTGCACATTCTGAAATGATATACTTATGGGCTCAAAGGGTAAGACCATGCCTGCAGAGGTAAGAAACCACTGTGTAAAATTTGTGATATATAGCTTGCTTTCTGATGCACAAACATTATTTGTAATTTAGCAAATTTATTTTTTAATGATGTCAAGTACAAAAGGATAGTAAGAAGCATCTCACCTATACTTGTAGCTTCTGCAGCAGTTATGTGAGTATCTACACAAGTTAATTCTTTTTCTTGGCAGGAATTATCTAAATTTTCTTTTTCCTTAAGGTGAGAGAACTTTTCATGAGAAATGATAGTTCGAGAACTTCCAGGAGCTGCGAAATGTCAAATTTCAGTAAAATCTTCAAAGGTGAGAATTAAATTTGTATACATAATTAAATCTCTCATACGTTTCCTAACAGTTTCTTTGGTAGAGAGAAATACATTTTAAATAACTGAGTGCACAGGTGAACCCAATGTTGAAAACCATCCAAAATCCAAGTAAAGATCCTATTGATATCCAATAAAAGCTGTCACTGAAATTGAGACCACGGTTTTCCAGAACTTGCAGGCCTATAGTGACATTTGAAGATAAAACCTGCAAGGAACAACAACCAGTGAATATTAACTCTCAACACAAATTAAGCTACCTTGATATGATTTCCTCCTTTACCTTTTGCCACCTTGGAGCATGAAATTCATTTACTGAAGCACCTATTTCTCCATATGTTAGCGGAGAAAGCCAAAAGCCCCACTCCAACCAAGCAGGCAAGGAAGCTGCATTTGGGAAATGCTTTTAGATTGAGTGAAATGGCACAAAACTTTCAAATTTTCACTGAAATCACCAGTGACATTCCTTACATTTTGGAATTACGAAGCCACCAAATAGAAACATTACTACTAAGGAGAAAAGACCAATGGTTGCTGCTACAGAGGGAGTTCGAACCAAGGATGCTATCAGACGAAACAATGATATTGATACTTGATGCACAAGGAATAGAATAATGATTTGCTTGAAGAACCTGACATTCGATGAAAACAAATAAATTTAGAAAGCCACAAACTTAATTATGTTTGAAAACAAAATGAAAAAAAAGAAGAGCAATTTAGCCTCAAAGAATTGATGTACCTTTCAGGCTCAGGACTGTAACCAATGACATAATAAGTAAGAGATGTCCAAAGAAAAGCATCTAGCAAAGAAAATGGAATCTTTAGAAGGGCAGCTGGAATGGAATAAGCCCATGCAGGATAAAAGTAGAAATCTCTTTGCTTGTACAAGACTGCTAGTCTGGACACAGTCATTGATAACTCTGCAATCCCATTGCTCATCAGTCTAATGAGAGCATAGAACAAAGAAGCCATGTAGTACTTTGCATGGACATCGTCAATATTCATCCATGTACGTGAAAAAACCGTCATTGTTACTAGCGCAACGACGACAAGCTGCAAAATGAAATAATCCAAGTGTTTAAATGTTTGATTATTTAAGTAGTTGTTTGGTAATTAACCTATTGTCACAACTATCCATTACCTGTGCTGACTTGAACACATGAACAAACGAGTTGCGCTTCATAAGAAGCCATTCTCTAGCAGTACATGCTTTTAATAGTTCCCATTTTCTTAATGAGTAGATGTTGAATGATAAAGCATCTTTGTAGCACTCAGATTTGTCGAAAGGCTTGCGAAGTTCCTCATCTAGCTTCTTTCCGACATGAAAATCCTTGAACATATTTACAAACTTGTCAACCGTAACATAACTGTAGGGTTGGTCTTCATGGTACCAGTACTTTGCCTGATCCTTTCGAGAAACCACCTCTTGCAGGAAGTCAGAAATGCCTTTTCTCGGTGGGCTGCGAAAACCACACTGCTCAAAGAACTCTGCAGCATTATTGCAAGGCCCATGATATACAACTTTTCCTTCTGCCATCAAGATAATGTCATCAAAGAGAGCGAAGGTCTCCGGCGTTGGCTGAAGAAGTGATACCAAAATGGTGGAGTCTGTTACGTGTGTCAGTTGCTGCAAACAAGTAACAATCTGAAAGGTAGTGGAACTATCTAAGCCTGTTGATATCTCATCCATGAAGAAAGCTCTTGCTGGACCAATCATCATTTCCCCTAAGGGAGGAAAAGATCAAGAAACTTTAGTATATGATGAGAGAGTAAACTTTAAATGTAACTATGTTATATAAACAGAATTTATCAGTAATTTGCAAAACCTGTTGTCAGTCTTTTCTTCTGACCACCCGAAATTCCCCTTTGCATTGCGTCGCCTACTATTGTATCAGCACAAATGTCTAGCCCAAGAATCTAACAAAAGAAAAACAAATTGTATCAAACTACCTGTTAATTAGAGAAGGGGTAGGACTTGGTCCTATGAGAATTACCTTCATTATATAGTCAGTCTGGAGAGAGTTTTTCAACCCTTCAATTGAAATGGCCTGTTAGTGAAGTTGTCATCAGTGATTGCAAACAAGAAATGGACAAACAGCTGCTACTCTGGAAACTTCTATTCTGAAAAATTCATACCTTCATATAAGTGTCAATGTCTGGTTCTGGGACAATTCCTGATTGCTTCTCCCTTCTGCTGACTTCTTTCATTATATCTTCAATGGAGAAAAAAAGCTTCTATATAAGATGAATTGAAACTAGTTTTAAAGATTATGATTCTTGGCCATAATAAAATGCACAAACTGGCCTACCTGCTCTGTTTCCAATACCCTGGCAACGTGCTGAGAAGTCGAGTGCTTCCCTCACAGTCAGCTCAGAAATGTGCAAGTCATATTGACTTATATAAGCTGATGTCTTCTGAGGAACAAACTCATTGAACTTGTAACCATTGTAGGTAATTTCTCCTCGGACCTATAAATTTATGGATACATTTATCAGACCTTTAGAGCTAGTCAGCTCATTGTTCTGTTTCTAAGTCAGAAATGTACATCTGATTGATTGTTTTTTTGTTTTTTTTGCAGTTGCTAAATTTCCCCATATATAAGTAAAGCTAGCTTATGCATAATATGTTCATGTTTTCTTTTGTATAGGTTTAGTAAATGATTAGAGAACCTTGAGAGAGTGGTTAAGTTTCCCAGCAAGTGCCTGTAAGAAAGTGGTTTTCCCACAGCCTGGAGGGCCAAGCAATAGAGTCATCCTGCATGAAATACCACTCCATAAATCTCTTACTTCTTCATGTCAAGAAAAATAGAAGAAAAAGGATTTATATTATTATTAACCTTGATGGCTTGATGATGCCACTGACACCTTTGAGAATCTCTAATTTGTAGGCTTGAGGCTTGCAACCAATTATCTGTGTAACAATTGGCATCACCTTCAGTTCTCTTTGGGATTGGAATTTTTAAATACTTAGAAAGAAAAAGTAGAACCATGACCCGTCCTAAGCTAGATTCGAACTTGAGACCTCTTACCTCTTAAAATATGATTTATTTACACACATTCACACAATGCAATTATGATTATTTGTCTACATGGGACAGACTCAGTAACCATGTTACTTACTATTACAATTAGCAAAACCCAAAGTTTATTTGGACTGTGGATGAAGATTAACTTCACTTAACCCTTACTTAAGAGATGGGGCTGATTATTGAAAAGATTTAAAATAAATCCTAAAACCACGATCCATGGCAAAAGTCTTTTTTCGCAACTTCTAGTCACGCACATCATGATAATATAAAATAAGCTAATTCCAAGAAAAATCATTCTTCCTTAATTGTGCGATTTTTTATTCCTTAATTAAGCGATCTTATGTATTTGTTTGCTTCTAATATAAAACAAGATTCATCCACATGTTAAGCATTGCCAATTGCCAGGTTAGCTTAGCAATATGTACATGAACATATATATTTTATATAATAATAAAATAAGAAAAGACTTACACAGAGTATGCTTTTAAGGGCGGTCCATAGCGTTGGGAGGGGTTTTCCTTGAACCACTTCGCATTCTGCCTCTACAACCAAATTTTGGTATCCAACTTCCACAGTCGGTAATTGCAATCCCACCCTAAAAATAAAATGCGAAGGTTAGTCGGATATTTGAAAAAGGATTTTTAAATGCAATGATTATGGTGATGGTGATGGTGGTGATGGTATTTATTTATTTTTATTATATGAAAATACGATATTCGAACTTGAAATATTTTTGAAGGAAAAAAAAAGAGCAGAGAACCCTTCTAAACTAATAACTAGTTGGTATAATAACGATGAGTCGAGAAGTAATCCTATTTCATAATTTCATATCACTGAGCAAGTGCAATTACCTGTCTATTCTTTGTTTGAGTTTCTGCAACAGACGGTGGTTATCTCCCTCAATATCCTTGACAAGTTTCTCTATGAAGACGTGGCGTTCGAGGGCTCCTAGCTTTGTAACATCAACCACCCTCTTAGTAATAGTACCTCCTCCATTGTTATCTTGCTCATCAGTAAGTCGTTCAAATGTGGGCAACCGTTGGATTGCAGCCCACTGCAACTCAGTTTCGTCGTCGTTGTTGTCGTTGATGGATCTGACGCCTGAAGTTCTCCTGAAACTCGATGCATGTTGATGAAAAGAGGTCCTCACGCTTCTTCCTATCTCTGCTGCCAAATCCATGATTTCAAATGCAAAAGATTCCAAGTACGCAGCTTCTTCCTTCACCTCTCGGCCTCTAATGTTATTCCTAGAGTAATAAAGTACGCACAAGGTTGATGATGTTAACTTGTTAAGGAATATATAATGTGCATTGACTTTAGTAGTATGACAGACGTTTGTGTGTCGTATGCATTTCTATTAATATAAATGTTCTATTTATTTATATATCTGGCTTTGGTTTGAGATGCGAGCTTTCAAAATTTTCAAATAGAGTAATCCATGAGAGACCAAAGGCCTGCAACGGTGTTAAAAGACTACATGAAATGGAAAGACGGTTCTTTGGCTTTTTTTGACTTTTTTTTTAGGACAAGCTAAACGATAGTCTAAACTATAAAGAATGGGGATTTCTCACACACACACAATTATGATATCGTGGAGATTCGAATCTAAAATCTCTGGTCTGAAAGTCAATACTCTTTTTCACTAAGCTAAACTCCGTTAGCTGCCTTGTTTTGACAACTAGTTTCCTCAGTTATAACCTATGACGTCCCCTCGATTAAATTAGATGTATGTGTGCGAATCTGTTAGATTAATATATGTAAACATCTGTTTTCTTTATTAAGTACAAATTCAGAAACACCATTTGGCAATGACAAGGGGAATCTTGTATGTGTACTTCATATCAATCTATCGCCAACATGTTTGATTTGGCCCAAGTTTCAAGTTGGCGGTGCGTAAATCCTACTCGTGCAGTGCAGGGTTCGATTTATCTTCATGCTTGACCATTTCACCTGGAGCAAATTCTGCACGATGGTTATATCCAAGTTGATGAGGATATTCGGCAGGGTTGTTTCTGAATATTAACATAATATAAGACAAAATACAACTTTTGTCTATTCTTCATTTATGAAATCATACTTCACCTGTGAGATATGAGGCATGCATCAAATATGAAGTAGCTAACTCCAAGGGGGAAGTATAAATCAAAGGGGTGGGCTAATATTTTGTTAACCGAAAAAACGAAATTAAATCAAGCCAAGAACTACTAAATTTAAAAATAAAATAAAAAGAACTTAATTGAGTGATGCAAACATGATCTAAACTAGAAAACTATGACTTTTCTTAACTAGCCAGCCAAAAAAATTGAAGAACTTGCACACATGGGAGCTGGCGGGGATGGGCTAAAATGTCGAAATCTTAAAATTATGTGTTGTCAAAACTATTTGGGACAAAAGTCGCACCGAGCTACAGCCTAAGGCAGCCTATATGTAGTTTTGCCCTTGGCTAAATCAATATTGGGTGCCTAATCTAATTAGAATGGTTTGGTAGTTTCTATTCGGAATGTAGTTGGGTAGACATGCGATCTTGGGAGGAGTGTGGCACTGGCAACCCTATAAGCAATGCTAAGGCATTCCTATAAATTTTTTTTTCAAATCCAAAACATCACATCAAATTCAGGCCATGAAAAAATCTCTCTTATTCAATGAATCGTGCAAACAAATATGTCAAATCTATGAGGTTTTTAACACTAGAATGTGAAAACAAATAAAGTACTAAAAAAGAATGGAAAACTAAGAAGAGCTCGTGTTGAAATTAACTTCACTTGTTCCCGTAGCTAGCTATTTCACACTTGTTAGGCTGAAGCATGCTGCCGCACTCTTGAGATCATTCTGTGACACATGCTCAATAGATTGAGTGGTACCTTTGAACGATGATTCAGCACTGCAAATAAATTTAATTAAGTTTGTTAATCACTACACGGTTGCTAGGACTGGAACCGATGACCTTTCTTAGGGGAGCAATTATTCCGAACCACTACACTAGTTAATATATATAAGATAAATTTGTATATACATATCTAATTAATTAGTATTAATTAAATGTGTGGAGCTAGCACAAATTACCTTGACTCACAGGCTTCTTTGGATTCGATATACGATTGCCGATCATCAGCAATTGTATCAAATGGAATGTCATCGTAATCGTGAGGAACATCCATTTCTTGGTGAATAGGAAAGGCTTGTGAGGAAACCAAATTAGACTGAACAGCCATAAGTTGATCAACATTGTTATCGCTATAATAAGGATGTTGAACCCTAAGAGGTTTTACCACATCATTGTCGTCAATATAAACCGCACTAAGTCCATTTGCAAGATACTCATTAGCCAAAAAGGACATCCCTGCGGCACCGCCACCAGCAGAAGCATACTGATATTGGTGCTGATAAATTGTCAGAGCGGCGGAGGCGTCGTTGTTGGAAGGCATTCCCAGTTGCAATTGCGAGGAAGGACATGATGAGTAATGTGGGGGAGAGGGAGGGATTCGATATTGGCATTGGTCCTTGCAAATTGCGAGATGTGTTCTGACGTAACGAAGCTCCTCGATGGCTTGTTGTAATTGGAAGTTCAATTGGTTTATGATGCCCATGCAGCCAGTGACTGGAAATTTGGCACGCATGTTGGATTCGTATATGATTGATCTCATCGCCTCGTTTTGTTGCTCGGGATGAACTTGCTTTCGGATCTTCATTATGTTGGAGACGCCGTACAAACGGTGTGCGTTTTGGAACATCTTGGGCTGATCGGCCGGGAAGTGGGGAGAGAGAGGGCAGTCCTTAGCGCACCGTCGTCTTTGGTATTTGCACGCAGCACAGGCTTGGCTTGTGCCTCCCTTGATCGTCATTGTAGGGTAGAATGTACATTCATCGATGGTTTTGATGATCATCAATCCAGATTGATTGAAGTGTTTGTTTTGTTGAAAATGATGAATATAAGATATTGGTTTGGTTTGATCATCAAAAAGCAGGTTTGATTTGCGATTGATAAGACTGAGTAGGGATTAGAAGACCAAGTAAAATTTGAATGTTTCTCTCTCCAAATGTAGATCTTGTTGAACTGATTTTTGAGTATATCGGAGTCATATATTTATACACAGTTGCACGGTTAGCTGAAAATCACTTGTATACCCCTCAATCAATTAGAGAAGCTAATTACTAATTAAGCTAATTGGCTTGGGCCTAATGATGTGCCAAAATTAACTAATTAGATGTAACATTGGAATTAGATCAAGTGTGTTTTGTGGACAGAAACCATCACCCATCTTTTAAATTGCCCTTCCCATGGCAGAGAAATTGTTATAATATATGAAGTATATTAGTGTAAATAACTCTTTTTTTGTATCTTGTTTGTGCCAAAAGAATGAAAAACAAAGTAGACTGTATAAGTTTCACAACAATTAGAAGTCTGAAGATCTAGTTTTCTGTTTTTGTATTCAATTTGAAAACAAAATAAGTGAGATAAATATTGGAATTATAATTAAAAATCAAATTTTATGATCATGATAATTATAAATTGAAGATTAAAATGGTCATGCATTTATGTTTAATTTTTAATGTGACAACATAACTCACATCAAGAATAGCTTCAATATTATGACATGTTTACTTGGAATGGGGAAGTAAGGGATTGGAATTGAATCAACTACCCTCTCCTCTTGGTATTGAGCGAATCAAATTCACACACATTTTTTTTTAATTTCTTATGTGTTAGTGACCTCGATGATTTTTTGTTATTGAGATATTCTGGAATTGCATTCATAATTCAGCTACAAAAAGTCACTAATTACAAAGGGTCATTACAATAACAGAACAATCTAACATTAAAATTAACTGATAAAATTTACTTGGAGAAGCAAATAATTGAAATTGAATCAACTACCGTCCTGATTTTGAGAACGTATTAGTATTGTTTGGGAAGTGGACCTCGTAATCAAACTCGAAGAGGATAAACCCCACATTTAACTTATGCTAGTCCCGTACGAATTAAAAATCTTAACAAGTTCCCTACGAATTAAGAACCACACATTTATATGGTCTTAATTAGTTCTTACCCAATTAGCCGACATCTATGAGTGAGGGACAAGTGCAAAATTCTTAAAATTCTTTACTTTGACGCGTAGGCTTCATATAAAATTCTTAAAATTTTCATTTCATTTTTTTCTTTTGGTAAATAAAATCATAACCATCCCTTTAAATTCAATTATATACCTCTCCCTCATAGTTTCCTCAAGTACTTTCCTCAACTTCAGGCCGCCTCTGCCTCTCTAATCCCCATTCCCTTGCCATTAATAAACACATCAATCCACCTTAATTTCTAGTTCTTCCATAAGCTCCCGTCGCGGTCGCGACCGCCACCAAAAGACAGGGCATATTGATTCAAGGTACAAATTAATTGCATTTAATTTCAAGCTAGCAGAGATATATTAGAAAATATTGATGTTACACGTTTTTTTGTTCAATCATGCATGCATGCATGTTAATATCACATGTAATAATATCGATGGACGTAAAATTAATTCTTGTTGTGTTCAGATCAGTGCATGCATATGTTATGGAGTTTCTGAAGCAAGCCAAGGTGGTACGCTTCCGAAGCCACCATAACAAATACCTCTTGGCCGCTGACGATGAAGTCTCCGTTTGGCAGAACCGCGACGGCACGGCGAAGAACGCAAGGTGGACGGTGGAGTTGATCAGCCAAAATTCGAACACGTTACGATTGAAGAGCTGTTTTGGGAAATACTTAACAGCCTTAAGCACGCCATACCTTCTGGGAATCAAAAGCAAGAAGGTATTGCAAACCCTACCGAGGACATTGGATTCAATAGTGGAATGGGAGCCTGTGAGCGTGGCAGAAGGATACAAGGTGAAGCTGAAGACGGCCAACGGGCAATACTTGCGTGCAAATGGGTGTAGCTTACCGCCGTGGAAAGACTCCATCTCGCACGACAATCCTAACTGGAGAAGTACAACGAAAGATTGGATTTTGTGGAATGTGGATGTTGTGGAGATTCGTCTGGATGATCAACAACAAGAAGAACAACAAGAACGACAACGACAACGAGAACAAACAAATATTAATAGTGATCATAACGCTAGTAGTACTGGTGGTGATGATGATCATGATCAAACAGAGCCCGGATCTCCACTGGAGATTGATCTTACATCGCCCAAACAGAATTCACCTTCATATAAGAAAAAAAATTAGCATGCTTGATGTCGGAATTTGCCACCTTATGATCTCGAGATCTCAGTGTAACTCGTAATCGAAAAAAGAAAAGAAAAGATCTTTGTGTAACTTGGTAACATGTATTTTGGTCAGACCATATTTTTCTATACAACTGACTCATCAATTTCTTCTTCTATTTAGCAATTTGTTGGTTTTTTGCATTTGTAATGACAAATAAATTAACAAGCGCCCATCGTTTGAACAAATGAATAAATAGTACCATGAAATTAGATAAGATGTAATTGATACGGTGAAGAGATATATTGCAAGTCTTTTAAAAGAATGCACATCACCCAACAAAGCAATGCATGTTATGGTTTATGGGTTTTTAGGTCAAGTGCTAGAGTATAGAATATTTCTAAATGTCCTATGTGTACTGGTTGGCGTATTCGGAACATACAAAGATTTCTCCAAGTATTAAAGCACGTAATTTAAGGTGTAAAATAATTATTGGGTCAACTTAGACGTGTGATGGTGTTATTAGAGAGACACACAAAATAAAAAATAAAAAACAGAAAATATAAATTTGGAATTTGAACTTGGATCACTTCGCCTAATAGATGCCCAACCACCGCTTCTCCAAATCCAGTATTTGCGTTTGTTTTCTGAACGACCTTTTTTTATTTGGGTTTTCAACCATAAGATAAGACCATCCTTAGGCTTAATATATCTTCCTCTCATATATAGTTTCCTTAATTTCCTCAACCTTTGTCAACCTTTGCCTCTAATTCCTTGCCATTAACAAACAAATCACGCAAGACGCCAATTTGCTTCATATCATTTGCCGTTTTAGTTCAAGGTATACAAATTACATTTCAAAATTTCAGACAAAAACTAATCACCATTCTTAACTCTTCACAATTAACGTTATACATTTTGTTCAATCCATCGGTTCTCTATGTTCTGTGCTTAATCATAGTACTTGATCAATCTTATTGTTTTCAGACAAACATGGAGTTGTTCAAAACAGCCAGAGTGGTACGCTTACGAAGCCACCACGACAAATATCTATTAGCAGACGACGATCATGAGTCGGTATGCCAAGATCGGGATGGAACGGCGAGGAATGCGAGATGGACCGTGGAGTTTGTCAAAAATTCAAACACTTTACGTTTCAAAAGCTGTTATGACAAGTATTTGACAGCCGCCAACATGCCGTTCAGGCTAGGATTGAGAGGCAAGAAAGTCCTACAAACCCTGCCAAAGAGATTGGATTCTTCTCTGGAATGGGAGCCTATAAGAGAGGGATGTCAGGTCAGGCTCAAGACACCCTACGGCCAATTCTTGCGGGCAAATGGGGGTGTGCCGCCTTGGAGAAACTCTATCACCCATGATGTACCTCATAGAACTGCAAGCCAGGACTGGGTTCTGTGGGATATAGATGTTATAGAGTTTCGGCCTGAATCTCCAGAACGTCGGCCTGAATCTCCAGAACGTCAGCCTGAATCTCCAGAACGTAGACCAGTGTTTCTACCCCCGCCCCCTCCACCACCTGAACTGCTTGCAGAACCTACAGAACCAACATCTCCATCCAAGATTGAGCTTAGGTCGCCGCGAACTTCCAAAGAAGAGGTTTGTTTTGATCGACAAGACGATTCTAATTTTTCCGTGGCTATCAAATTTGATTGTATTTTTTGTGATAAGTTGGATGATTTTGTTGTTTGTTATTGAATGCAGTCACGTGAGTCATTCAATCATGGTTCTCCGATGAAAGGTGTAGGGAGAATGATCCACTATCATGTGGCTAATGATAAAGGAGATGTCGAGGATTCAGCTGAAGAGTTTTCCTTCTCCTTCAAGGGTAGCGAGGTAGAGGGTTTGAAGAAAAAGTTGAAGGAAGAGACTGGGCTAGAGGAAATTGTTGTGTGTTCTCGTAATCCACTGAATGGGAAACTGTATCCCATTCGTTTACATCTTCCTCCAAACAACCATGATATGCATGTTGTTGTGGTTCCCTCTTCATCTGAAGGTTCGTAGTTCTCAAGGTCTTAACAGGTTTTCATGTCTTCATCTTGATGGTTCTAAACATGTTAGATATATCGGTGATTCTACTAAGCTTTTTGAATTGTAATGAAACTATTTTGTACCATATTTACTGATATCGTGATGCATATTATTTCTCAACATATTTAAGTCATCAAAAGACCAACATATACAAATCCAAAAACGTTTTAATGAAAACATTTTCATGTCTGAATGTAATAAAACATATACCTTGTTTATTTGAATATCCATGCTGATTTAAGAATGGTTGTCTTGTGTCCTTCACCAGCAGGAAGTGACTTGTGACTGGACTGAATTTGCAAAACCTGCGAACATCAGATGCCCACTTATTCTATACATTCAGTTCCGAATCTGCTCAAATTTGCAAACACAGATAGGAAGCAGAGTGGAATAACCATAACTCATCATTCACATCGCTACAGAGGGGAAGTAGCAAATCATGCACAAAAGCAAAGGAAATGTCTTTTCCAGATGATTATTCAGTAAATTGGTTCGTGAAAATTTTCAGGGCTAAACCCAATTACTTTGTTCATTTTTTGATATTCTTGATGTATGAGAACAAATAAGACAAGTCTCATTTAGCACAACCAACTGTATTCCAATTGTATGGTTACTAATGCGAGGTTGAAGTTTATAATTGAGATCAGTAAGTAGAATCCATGTGAAACCAATCCATCTATAATCTCATTAAAACTATAACATATAATTCATGGAGTTGATATACATTAGGAAATTGGGACGGTGCTATTAAATCTGATAGTGTTTCCATGATCAGATGAAGAAATTTAAGCAGATTTACCATCGCACCAGTCTCTGTTGCAGGTGGTGACCAAAAGCACTTAGTAATCGAAGACTGAGAGTCCATCATCCTGCAAAGATAAATCTTTAAATTATAATTATCTTCCGGGAATACCTGTCATCTCAATGCTTGTGATTAAAGGGTTAATAATATGAAATAAGGTATATAGGATCGATTATAGGAAAGAATTCTACGTTAACCATGCATCTTCCTTCAGACATTGCCCAGTAGCGGGTGAAGTCTATGCGAAACCAGCTTGATAAGAACATTTGAGCAGCCATGGGCAATGAGAAGTCATAACCCTTGAGGATCCAGAACTGTTAAGTATGCAAACCATTCAACATAATCTTGAAAGGGTCCTGAATTGAGTCAGCACATATTAGGTCCAGCATTGCGCATATCCATGCTTGATGTGAATGTGATACGTCTCCTGAAACAAACTCATTAACCTTCCCATCCACCTCTATCATACTGCATCCTGGTGTCTTCTTGATTCCACTTTCACCGATCATCTTCCGTATCCTGATTGCATCTTCACTTCTCCGTGCACCCAAATAAATGTTTGATAACTGAACATAAGCACCGACTTCCTCTCCCCTGACATCATTTTCTAGCTGTAGAAGTTCTTTAACAGCAAGCTCTGCAAGATCTACATTATTATGGATTCGGCACCCACTCAGTAAAGCACCCCAGACAGAAGCAAGTGGCTTCATGGGCATTCTTCTGATAAGCTTAAGTGCTTCATTTAACCGACCTGCCTTACAGAGCAAGTCTATAACACAGCTATAATGCTCATGTTTGGGAACAATCTCGTATTGAGTTTTCATGTTGTCTAATAGAAGCTTACCCTTCTCCAGGAGACCTGCATGAGTACAAGCCATTAGCACTGCAAGAAGGACGACCCCGTCAGGCTTTAGACCATCATCCACTTGCATTCTCTCCAAGCTATGAATTGCATTAGTTGCATATCCATGTGCTGCAAACCCCCCAATCATAGCTGCCCATGAGACCACATTCCTTTTTGGCATTCCCTCAAAGGCTTCCACAGCCAAATCTATACAAGCACACTTGGCATACATATCAACAAGCGCAGTCCCGATAAACACATCTGACTTCAACCCTGTCCTCTTTTTAACATACTCATGAATCCACTTCCCCTGCCGAAGAGCCCCCAAATGAGCACAAGCCGTGAGCCCAGTAGCTACACAGAAGTTATCAGGTTCAAACCCAGTTACCAACATATCCCGGAAAACCTTCAAAGCCTCAGAAGCCAAACCACACCTAACATACCCATTCATAAGAACATTCCACTGTATAACATCTCTCTCAGGAATTTCATCAAACACCTTCTTGGAATCATCCAAAACCTTGCACTCGGCATAAAGTCTAACAAGGGCTGTCTGAACATGAGCATCCACTAAAAACAACCCATTTTTAACAACCCAATTGTGAATTTGCCTGCCCGAAACTAGCCAAGAGCAATTTGCGCAAGCCAAGATGACAAAGTTGAAAGTATAATTATCGGGTCCCAAGCTGCTCTGTTTCAACATGAGAAGGAAATAATGCACAGCCAAATGAGGCTGAGAACTGCGAGAGTAGGCTCTGATGAGGGTATTGTAAATGTAAGAATTTGGGGTCTGGATTTGGTTGAACAGAAGAGACGCATACGCGAGGTCACCAGAGTTCGATAGCGCGCAGAAGGCGATGAGCTTGCTGATGGCGTAGTTGTTGAGGTGGAGGCCATAGGTGATGAAGATGGCGTGGGTGGCTTTGAGTTTGCGCATGTTGCTGCAGCCTTGTGCTAAAGACATGCATCGCTTCCATGCTTGTATGCTACTGTTGCAGAGGAACCGGCTCATATACGTATATACCTCTGTGTGCATGTATTGAAGCCGTTGGGGGAAGAATTGAAAACCAAGAGAGGGATAGAAGTTCGACCAAAAAAGAGAGGGATAGTTAGCAACGACACGTCGTTCTATAAGACTCCTGCCACGTCATAATCACACACCTTACCCTTTTTGCTTTATCCGTAGCGACGGCGCAAGCAAATGGCATCGTAAATCGAACAGACAGGAGGGAGCGCCTATGAGCTTCACCTTGGCGCGCTTCGTCCTCCTTCACTCTAGGGTCTGCTCAGAAGCTGCAACTACCACCAAAAACAATGGCGGTCTTATTTCAACCCTTAATAAAAGAAAATTTACTTCGACTGCCATCCCCAGAGCTCAAAATAAGGTAGCATGATAATAATTTTTTCATCTATCTTTGTTTCTAAGACTCAATTTTTTATCTTCATGTTCTTTAGAAGATTTTGAACTTATTTGTTTGAGTTGTTTGATGGGTAGACAACTGAAGAGCTACTGGTGGTAGTTGGGGGCGGAGCAGCTGGGGTTTATGGAGCAATTAGAGCTAAAACTCTGGCTCCTAATCTCAATGTAGTGGTCATTGAGAAAGGAAAGCCTCTATCCAAGGTAAGTCTCTTTTCACAAGTTTTTATTTTTTATTTTATTTTTTTTTCACGGCAAAAATCAGAGATTATTAAGCCAAGTTGGTTTATTATCCATTTGTTATTGGCAGGTAAAAATTTCTGGAGGAGGCCGATGCAATGTGACAATGGGCATTGTGTTGATAATAAGGTAGTACATACATGGGGTTAAATTGAAATTAGAAAATCTTGCATGCATACATTTTGGTTTTGTTCAGAATGATGATTTTGGTCGTAGATGTTGGCAGAAAATTACCCTAGGGGTCATAAAGAATTGAGAGGAGCATTCTTCAATGTGCATGGGCCAGTTGATACCATGTCCTGGTTTTCTGAACATGGGGTTAGGCTGAAGGTTGGTACCAAGCTACATGTCATTTTCTTTGAACATGTGTTTATTGTGCATGTTTAATTTGTTCTCTGCTGACCGTAGATTGAGGACGATGGAAGGGTATTTCCTGTCAGCAACAGTTCGTCTACAATAATTGATTGTCTCATGTCTGAATCGACACGACTGGGAGGTATGTTTGTCTACTGATGGAATGATGCTGCTATTTGATCACTTAAGTCTGTTCCTTTGTGTATTAACCCTTATGGGGCTCTTGTTGAAGAGCAACATCTAAGATGGCTTTTATTTGGCAAGAAGTTATTTTCAGTAATCACCAAGTATGTTGTCATTTCATAGACAACTAGTCCTCTCTACTCCTTTCTCGGTCTTATAATATTTATTTAACATCCAAATCAGGATGCTTGAGTGGCAGAGTTCTAACATTATGACTTGCAAGTTGTTTGTGCTGAAATTTGTTCCTCAACCAGTTTCTCTGCAGACTGGAAAAGCTGTGATAACTGCATCTCCTACTGCTGGAGGGAAATTTCTTCTAGGGATTGAAAAGCGTACCTTCAGTTCCCCTGAATATGTTGAAGCTGATTATCTTTTGATTGCCAGCGGTAATAGCAAGCAGGTTGTGATAGATCCTTATTCCTTTGCGTTGTCATGTTGATGGATTGAGTTTGTTGAAATGTCTTTGTTCTTGTGACAGGGTTACAGTCTTGCATCTCAGCTTGGTCATTCAATTGTAGATCCAGTACCAAGCTTATTTACTTTCAAGATTGAGGATCCACGGCTGGCAGATTTGTCAGGGGTAATTTTCTTTCACAATGATCAAAATCCTTTGCTTAATGCATATCAAATTATTAACCATCATTGTCTTATATTTGCTTATGAAACATGTGTACTTGAGAGAAACAAGCTTGTGTATGGTTTTTAACCCTTTTTATTTATTTATCACTTTCAGATTACATTCCCGAAAGTTAAGGCAACACTGAAAATAGAGAATGCCCGAAGGAATATACCACAGCTTACGCAGGCATGTTTTATTTGTTGCCATCATTTAGATTTTCAATAATTCATGTGCCATATCGAAAATATTTGGAACAGTAGGTTGGACCTGTGTTGGTCACGCACTGGGGATTCAGTGGGCCTGCAATTCTTCGGTTATCTGCTTGGGGTGCCTGTGTTTTATCCAGTTCAGGATACAAAGGAAAGGAGATTTCTTCTTTTGTTATTTTATTTTTCCGGCCACATCTTTTCATTACCTTTGAAATATTGTTTTTTCTCAACTTGGTAGCATCTGGATGCAGGGACTCTTATTGTAGACTTCACACCCGATATGCATATAGAAGATCTGAAGTCAATCCTCACCCAACACAAAAATCGGTTTGCGGTAGTCCTTGGTCTTAACTCTTGTTGCTTCCTTGGTGAACTTGTAGATTTCTATTTAATCAAATGTCATGGTCAAAGTGAAACTAGTTTCTTTATGAGTAACGATGGGGCTAGGTTGGTTTATAATTGAGCACAACCAACTCTGTATCTGGGTTTTGCATAAGAAGGTGGACTTACAAATACTTAGGTTCGGAAGAAGTTGGTGTGAACCAGTAATGACATAATGCCTTGAGACCGAACTTCCGAAATTTGGAAACAATCTTATCAACTGAAGACGTATGCCCATGTTTATATATTCACTTATGTTAGGACTGTGACACAATACACTTAATTTTATTCTGAATACATCCCACTTACATTATACTCTTGCAATTTGTTGTGCTTGAATTGACAATTTTCTTGCTTTTTGCCTATATCCCTGCAGAAGCAAAAACTGTCCAATTCATATCCTTCAGAATTTGGCCTTGTGAAGAGATTTTGGATATATATATTGGGTCGCCAGGTTTGATTTTTGTTCCAAGCTTAAACATGATATGTTGCACTCTTAAAGAGAAATTAGCCTCATAGATATTTTTTTTCTTTCAATATTCATGTGTAGGGTTTACTTGGTGATACCTTGTGGGCTTCCATTTCAAAGAACTCATTAATTTCTCTTGCACATATGTTAAAGCATTGTAACTTTTATGTTACAGGAAAGGTAGGTTTTGGTAAACCTGCTCTGCACCCCCCAAGTTTTTTCTTTTAAGACAAATCTTTTGCACCTTATTGAAATTTGTGCTTCTTTTCATGGTGAAGAGTCAATATAAGGATGAATTTGTCACTGCTGGTGGTGTTCCACTCTCTGAGGTCTCTCTCTCTCTCTCTCTCTCTCACACACACACACACACACATTCATTAGAAGTGTAACTGTGTTTCTTGCTTTTGTGAAGATATCGATGAATACAATGGAAAGCAAAATCCAGTCACATCTATTCTTTGCTGGAGAGGTAGTGTGCATGGGAAATACTTGTGTTGTTCATTGGAAAAAAATAAAAAACAATCCATACTTGCACCCGTGCATGCACATACAGGCACATGGTGTCCTACTTATGGTGCTGAAAAGTAAATATCTGTTTTCAGGTACTGAACGTTGATGGGATAACTGGTGGTTTCAATTTTCAGGTAAAAGACCTCTCATATAAAAGAAATGACAAATTATAACCATTTAACAGGTTGTTAATACTATAACTGTAGTATGTTTGAATATTAACTAAAATTTTCAGTGGGCTTCTTGTAAAGTCACTGCATGCAAAGTCTGGCAGTAAGAAATAAATTGTTGGTGTTGAAAATATTGCCTTGCTCAAGATTTGGGTTTTCATGGTCAAACATTCAACTCCTAAGAACCATTGGTGGAGATTTTCCCATCTAATATCTTGTCGTCCATCATCAAAGTGGACTTTGACCTTGTCCTTGATAATCTTGACAGGTTTAAGCATGTTTTTGTTCTGCCCAAATCAAAGGATGGCCAATGCAATTTTTTTCTTCGTTCTAAAATTGAAATTGCAACTGGCATAATGTAATAGTCAAAGGGAGAAAATTCATGATTAATGGTCTAGCTCCCCATCTCATGTTAGATTTTGAAAATGTTCTACCATGCCATTTATAATCATATGTTAGTTCAAAATCATCACTCTGTTCTCCTTGGGCTGTTTTTGCTGCAGAACGCTTGGTCTGGCGGATACATTGCAGGAACTAGTATTGGCAAACAAGCAGTTGGTGCTTAAGTTATCTATGCGAGGGACGTTTTTGACAAACTTGGTAAGCAATTTCTTGGTGCTAAACTGGTTATTTATGTCGGGAAGATACAGGAGACAACACAGAAGTGTTTGCTCATAAATGTTGACTCAATTTAATTGCTTTACTAATACAGATGGTCCAGATGAAGAAGCTGCCGCTGATGGCTATGAAAGACCGACAATACAGTACTAAACGTGAAAACCCCCTTGTTTTCTTTACCGAACAGTTTTGTTTGTCAGTCTGAGTCACGACCAAATATGTTTGCTTTCAAGAAACGAACAAATACATCTGCGTCGTCTTAAAAACTATTTTTGTGAGTGCGGCATGCATTCACAGAATCACAAGATTTTTTTATTTGATCTTCTTATCTGGATGTGATTTCATGTTTCTGAAAGGTGCACTAGGCTGAATGTGGAGTTCGGGGCGATAAATGATAATTAAAATCTTAATCAGCTGCCTTTTTCTGTATTTATTTTATGCAAATGATAATCTAAATTAATGAAATTTATTGGGAGATTCGAACTTGGTGCAAGAAAGCGGGTTCACTTCCCTGACCAACCGCACTAACTCGTTTGTCAATATTACTAATTCTTAATTTAGCTGTGAATGCTCTTGTGCTTAATTAATCTGTTGTCGACCAATACCAGGGGCGACGGCGTGGTCCCCACTACTACCGCTGCAGCCTGAGTCTTCCCAGCCAGGCCCTTGGATTAGACGGAGGATCTTTCCTTTCCTTGACGTCTGGAAATTGCACCACGTTGCACTTTGACTTTGTTTTATAGTAATTCAATAATAGCATGCTTATGAATTTTCAAAGCGTTGACGCCAAGTCGACCTAGCGGTCCAATAAACGATTGTCACATCGTACATGAAAAATAAAATTGCGGGTCCAAGTTTTGCAATGCAAACCATCGAAAATGCCATATGTGCCCAAATTAAAGTTGGGCCACAAGGCCCACCACAACTAAACACATGCAAATTAAAATTGGAACTTATTCGAATTTATAAATAAATTCCGAGGATATACTTAAAGAACAATCAAGTTTAATTATTAATTAATTAGTCGGAAGAATAAAAAAGAGGGTATGTAGAATATGGCCAGAATCCAGTGGATTTTGGTCAGGCGATCTGGAACGTTGTCCTCCAATCAAATCAAATTATTATTTTATTATTAGGTACTCAACAAAACCAACACACCAAAGCACTAGTCAAATTAATAAATACTTTTATTTTTATTTTTTATAGTATTAGTTTAGGTGCAAAAGGAAAAGGAAAGGATAAAAAAGCTTATTAATAAAGTAAAAGAAATGGACCACATCCAAAGCCAGAGCTGATAGTCCCAGCTTGGTGAAGGGAGGGATGGGATTGGATAGTGGAGGAGTTGGACAGCAACCACTTTGCTTTTGGAAAAATCCAAAAAATCACATGAGATATATACCTTTCCACGTCCTAGTCCTTCCTTTTTGCTGTATATCCCAGAATCCAAAGAATGTTTATCTCCAAATCCAAACACATCCCATACAATTTTTTTTTCATTTTTATCTGTTCCGAAATCTCTACTCCACTGGCTCTTAAAAGCACCTCAGCTTTTCTCTCCGCTATTTCCCGTGACTCGCCCGAGTTGGAGTCGGCGCTCCGAGTTTCCGTGGCCAGCTGACCCTTGCCTAACTGCCTATGTGTTAATCTTTAACACTCGCATAGTCACATCACATGCATTAATATATACACACACACGCGCACACACGCATATATATATAAATAGAATGGCGGTGAGTCTCTGATGAGCTTCTTTGATGTTTTACTTTGGATTTGAGCAGAACCAGTGAAAGAGCTTGGCGAGCGAGCGAGAGAAAGAGATAGAGAGAGATGAAGGAGGAACAAGAAAGAGAAATGGGAGAGAAGATAAAGATTGGTGTTTGTGTGATGGAAAAGAAGGTGAAATGCGGCTCCGAGGTTCTTCTTTTCCTTTTTGCTCATTTTTGTACACACTTAGAAACCAGAGATGCAAATAAGTTGAACAATGTATGTATGCAATGAGCCTCTTCGTTTTCTGTAGGTGTTCTCAGCGCCGATGGGAGAGATTCTCGAAAGGCTACAAGCATTTGGTGAATTTGAGGTACTGCTTTTGTTTTCATTCAATTTGCGTCTCAAATTTGTTCTTGTTGCGAGTTGGATCTAATTATAAATTTTTGCACGTTGTAATGTTTTAGTGTTGCTCATCATTTTTTTACGCAAATATATACGCAGTGCCAGTTTTTCTGCTATATCTCATACATGTCTTGTTGCGAATCTTCTGGTAGATCTCACATTTTGGGGACAAGGTCATTCTTGAAGATCCGATTGAAAGGTATCTGTTTTCCTTAACTGTATGTGTTTTTGTGACAGTATGAAATGTGTGTTTGTTTATGAGCCTGTGATTGCGGCATGAATAGTTATTGCTGACAGATTCTGGTGTCATCAACTTGGTGATTATTTCAATACATAAATTTTAGGTGACTAATTTGTTACCCCGTTACTGTATTTTACAGCTGGCCAATTTGTGACTGCTTGATTGCTTTTCATTCCTCCGGCTATCCTCTGGAAAAGGCTGAGGCATATGCTGCTTTAAGGAAGTAAGCTATGTTGTTCTTCATGTACAGATTCTATGAAATGCAACCGTCATATGTATGTGTGTGTGTGTGTACTGTGAAACTCACAAGTCTATTCAGTTCGGTTTTGGAACCTTTTCACTGCATTAAAAGGGTCTCTTTACATACTTTTCCCTTGTTCTTTGAATTCATGGAGGGCTTTTTCCTTTTTTTTTTAGTCTTATCTGTAAGGAAAAGTAGTTTATTTATCTAAGTATCTGTTCTTTTTATCCAGACCTTTTCTAGTAAATGAGTTGGAGCAGCAACACCTTCTCCATGACCGTAGGAAGGTGTATGAGGTATGCTTATGAATTTCTTCTTGATAGAGAATTACTATGTCAAAAGTGGACGAGTCTTCATGCACGAACTTAATGTTTTTTTCTTGTTCTTTGTTAATATATTTTGTTTATAGAAATATAATGTCAATAACTAATGAATAACTTCGGTGGATTCAAGCATCTTGAAATGCATGGAGTCCCTGTTCCCAGATATGCCCTTGTAAATAGAGAAGTACCATATCAGGAGCTGGACTATTTTATTGAGGAAGAAGATTTTGTTGAGGTTCATGGTCATCGTTTCTGGAAGCCATTTGTGGAGAAGCCTGTTGAAGGTCAGCTTGTTTCTAAATATATGAATAAGTTGTTCTATTTATTTTTTTTCATCACATATTGGCTTCTGTTTGAACCTTGTTTTTTGCTAAATCCTTAAACCTAGTCACTACTCACAGAGAGAATGTCAGGAGTATCCATTATTATTGTTGTTTTTTCATAACTTTTATCTTGCACCTGATAGTGACTCTTTTCTTTTGCTTCTATGAAGGGGATGATCACAGTATAATGATATATTATCCGAGTTCGGCAGGTGGAGGAATGAAGGAATTGTTTAGGAAGGTGAGCTTTTAACTGCCTATTGTATGATATGCTCAAAAGAGAGTTTTGTCTGTATTCACGAATGTGTTGATACAAAAAGTATTTGAAACCAAGGTGATTTCATCTATGAGAAAGGTTAGGGAAGTCTTGGTTGATGGATAGTCTTTTTTGCCTCTTGCTACCCAAACCAAACTTACTCACTTTGTGGTCAGATCGAGTTTTGGGGTAATTTTGACCATAAAAAAGGAAATCTGGATTTAAGGAGGTTTGGATAAATCAGCTTTACTACTTATCAGTCATTAGTCATAACATGACTACCAAATAAAATATGGGCATTTATACTATCATCCTACCGATTTGTGAATGTGGCTAGCAACGTATCAAGTCTGAGACTACTGTATTTATGAGTTCTTAGAATTTATATGTTCATTATCCGTGATTGATATGTTTTCATTTTCTGATTTCAGGTTGGTAACCGCTCTAGTGAGTTCCATCCAGAGGTTAGAAGAGTGAGACGTGAAGGCTCTTATATATACGAAGAATTCATGCCAACTGGAGGAACAGATGTCAAGGTTGGATGCTTTGTGTTTGAGATCTTTCATAGTTTCTAAGTTGACATGAAAATGAGGTTAAATGCTCTCATTAATCTAACATATCGTTAACATTTCAAGTTTCATGTCATCATATTTACTGACAGCATGGAATGGAGTTTTCTTATGCACTGTTAATAGAGACTGCTCATACAATTCTCCCTGTGCATAATTGCTGTTTGAGACCATTATTTTGTCCTAACTTGGTTGTATACTCAGACACTTAAATGGTTCATTTTCATAAGTAATTGTTTCCTCTTCTCCTTAAATAATACAGGTGTATACAGTGGGCCCTGAATATGCGCATGCTGAGGCAAGGAAGTCTCCTGTTGTTGATGGTGTTGTCATGAGAAATCCTGATGGCAAGGAAGTAAGTACTGCATGTAAGATAGTATGGTTGATCTTCCTCTTGTTCTTCGGATTCTTTTCTATGTCTCTATCTCTTTATCTCTCTCTTTCTCTGTATAATATGAATTCTTTGATTTCCAATTTCTTGTAATCTTTTTAAATCTTTTATTATGAAATGATCTGTGACACCAGGCACATTTTTTCACTTGAATTGATTTGGAATACCAATGTTGATAGTTTTTCTGTTTACATATTTGGAATGAAAATAGTTAAAATGCCTGGTTCAATCAGTGATGTGATGACCAATCCCTTAACAGATAGCATGCTGCAAGCAGGAAATACTGGGGGTGAAATGATACATTGCTATTGCTGAATGGGGGTTGAAAGAGTGATGTTTGCTTGTTAATTCATTTGACAGGTGAGGTATCCTGTTTTACTGACACCTACCGAGAAGCAAATGGCAAGGGACGTCTGCATTGCATTTAGGCAAGCGGTATGTAATTTAACTGTAGTATTAAATAGTCTGGAATCACAAGGCTAATTACTAGTTGCA